AGGGTTAGATTAGGTTAAGACAATTTCCGGGCCGAGCGCTGCGGCTAGAACAGGCTAGGGGGCCGGGAGCTGCGACCACAACTCCATATAGTAGCTGTAAAACCACGTGCTAGAAGGTCGGATGTTTAGTACAGCGGATTTGGCGAAGGTCAGAAGTGGAGTATAGCGGAGTTGTGTAGGTCGAAAGATACACCATTGAAAAATTACAAAGAATTAATTTGAATAAAAGGAGCTGATTTCAAGTGACTCTCCATTCACAACGGTACCCTTTAAACCTTTCGCTTGAACTAAACTAATTGTACCGGTGTGCATGGGACATGACAATCTATTAAGAGTTTCATTAAATGATTATTATCAGGATGTTGTCATCGGAAACCCCTACTAGTACCTGGAGGAAGAGCTTTTGTTTGGCCGGGTATTCAATATGTTCAAAGGTATATTTTTCAACCATCCTTTTTTCAACAACCGTTTTTTTAAATACCGTTTTTTTTCTCCCTTTATTGCCTAACAGTGTTTTTCATCCACCATTTTTCTACCACCGTTTTTTAACCAACATTTTTAAACCATCGTTATTCAACCACTGTTTTTAAACCACCGTTTTTTACCACCCTTTCTCAACCATCGTTTTTCAACTACTGTTTTTAAACGACCGTTTTTTACCACCCTTTCACAACCACTGTTTTTAAACCACCGTTTTTTATCACCCTTTCTCAACCATCGTTTTTCTACCACTGTTTATAAACCACCGTTGTTCAAATATAGATTTTCAACCACCGTTTTTCATCCACCATTTTTTTATAACTGTTTTTCATCCATCATTTTACTATAACCGTTTTTCATCCATCATTTTTCTTTAACCGTTTTTCATCCACCATTTTTCTATAACCGTATTCCATCCACCATTTTTATAACTGTTTTTCATCCATCATTTTTCTATAATCGTTTTTCATCCACTATTTTTCTATAACCGTTTTTCATCCACCATTTTTCTATAACCGTTTTTCATCCATCATTTTTCTATACCCGTTTTTCATCCATCATTTTTCTATAACCGTTTTTCATCCACCATTTTTCTATAACCGCCTTTCATCCATCATTTTTCTATACCCGTTTTTCATCCATCATTTTTCTATAACCGTTTTTCATCCACCATTTTTCTATAACCGTATTCCATCCACCATTTTCTTATAACTGTTTTTCATCCATCATTTTTCTATAATCGTTTTTCATCCCCTATTTTTCTATAAACGTTTTTCATCCACCATTTTTCTATAACCTCTTTTTCATCCACTATGAATTTCTCTAATATTGTTTTTCAACCAACATTTTTCAACCATCGAACCATTTTTTAACCACCCTTTCTCATCCACTGTTTTTCTACAATCAAATTTTCCCCACCGTTTTCCCCCGACTTTTCTTTAAGAGATTTTCAACCCCCATTTTTTCACCATTCTTTTTCTATCGCCGTTTTTTTTAACTACTGTATATTTTGCTACTGGTTTTCAACCACCGTATTTCAGCCACTGATTTCAATCATCTTTTTCATGCAACATTTTCAATCATTGTTTGTCTACCACTGTTTTTAGCTATGGATCTTTAACTACCGTTTTCAACCACTGTTTTTCAATCATTGTTCTTTAAGCAACGTTTTTCAACCACCATTTTTCAACCACCGTTTTTCAACCATCGTTTGTCTACCACTATTTTCAAAAATGGGTTTTTAACCATTGTTTTTTAACCACTGTTAATTCTTAAACACTGTTTATTCTTAACCACCGTTTACTACCACCGTTTTCAACCCCCCGTTCTTTCCCAACGTTTTTCAACCACTGTTTTCAACCACCGTTTCTGAACCATTGTTTTTTCTACCACCGTTTTGCAACCTCCATTTTGCAACCACCATTCTTTGACCAATGTTTTTCAATCACTATTTTTCAACCACCGTTCTTTGACCAATGTTTTTCAACCACCATTTTTCAACCACCGTTCTTTAACCAATGTTTTTCAACCACCGTTTTTCAACCACCATTTTTTAACCACCGTTTTCAACCACCGTTTTTCTACCACCGTTTTTCAACCACTGTTTTCAACCACCGTTTTTCTACCACCGTTTTTCAACCACTATTTTCAACCACCGTTTTTCAACCACTGTTTCTCAACCATAGTTTTTTAACCACCGTTTTTCTAACATCGTTTTTCTAACACCGATTTTCAACTGCCCTTTTTAAACCAACATTTGTTTTAAACCATCTATTTTTACCATCGTTTTTTATCACCGTTTTTCATCCAATCCCTAGAAGTTTCTTTTTTCATGTTTTAAACTGAGTTTTCCTCAGAATAAATCTGACCACCATATTTGGAATAAATCTGACCACCATATTTGGAATAAATCTGACCAACACATTTAGCATAAATCTGACCACCATATTTAGAATAGATCTGACCACCATATTTAGAATAAATCTGACCACCATATTTAGAATAAATCTGACCACCATATTTAGAATAAATCTGACCACCATATTTAGAACAAATCTGACCACCATATTTAGAATAAATCTCACCACCATATTTAGAATAAATCTGACCACCATGACGTTATCTGTGACCTCCTCTGGGGTGTACACTAGTCAGGAATAGTATATGATGAGTTTTAGATAAAAATCAATCTTAAAATCTAAAAATTGGGTTAATGTTCTTTTGCCTTCAATGTTGTTCATAAATTATGTCTCTGAACTCTCATCCTTATAAAAACTACGAAAAATAATTTCTATAAAATTTCAAAAAAAAGTCTTGAAAAATCATATAAAATGCCTCGCAGGGTGTCAATATCACCGTGACAGGAATAGCTCAGGTTTGTCTAATTTCTAAAATCATTTTTTCGCTGTTTTATGTTTACAGTGGTACCGACAAATTTATAGAATAGGAAGACGACAATTAGACTCCAGTTGTGATTTAAACAGTCCAAAGAACATGAAACACATCAACTGTGCTAGTGTACACTGACCCATTTCAAATAATATGTTTATTTTCAAGATTTAACAAAAAGTAATAATATTGTTTAAATGTCGTCTTCATTTTCCACAGTTTTATTGGTCGCACTGTAAAATAATTTCTCTAGTTCTTTTCCACGATATCTTACAGTCCCAGTCCCCAGACCCATATATATATATATATATATATATATATATATATATATAATGTATACTATATATGTGATGCTTAATATATATAATATATATAATATTGTTCAATATCTAGGTTAAGATCCAGGGACAGAATGAGGAGATGCTCCTGGCAGCCTGTGAACAGTTTCTTGGCAAGACAGAGGATGAAATACAACAGGTGAATATAATTTGGTTTTTATTCATTAAATAGTCTGTTACAGAGCACAGTTGCTGTGTTTCGTGTTCATTGGATTAATGCGACAATTTTCGCATTTTTCGCGAGCGAACGAAGTACAAAAAAATGTGAAATTTTCCCGAATCGATTTTTCCTTTTCGCGCAAACCCTATTCTCACTGAATTTTTTTCTAAAGACTATCAATTAAATATCTTTTTTCCAAAGAAAAATTAATGGCTTTAAAGGGACCGTTCACTTTTTTTGGTAACTTCATGGTGTACTAATTAGCCTATTAGCTATTGTATTAGACTTACATTTTAAAGATATCTATGACCGGAGAAAAAGCCGATTTATTGTTTAGAATTCCAGCGGAAAGCTATGATACCTTTGCATAGGCATTTTTCAGTAACAACAGCCCAATAAAATCTAAAATTATCATATTTCAATAACATCATGTGTCACCCATTATATGTATAATAAAATATAAAGACTTTCTCTCTCAGACAAACCGGTTCCTAGATTCCAACTCTTCAATAAATCCCGGGGATTCCCATGGGGAAGTAGGGAAAACTTATCAAACCGTCAAATGTTTAAAATAAGTTATACTTAAGAAAAAGACACCACAATTAACTATTAGATATACTACCTTTGCGCTGGATTTCTGAATGATAAATCGGCTTTTTCTCCGGTCACAGTTGTCTTTGAAAAGTAAGACTAATACCAATGAAAAGCTAATAAGCTATTAGGTTTACCCTCAAATTACCCAAGTAAGTGAACAGTCCCTTTAAGTTTAATCTGCAACTGCAGTAGAATTCAACTCATGTGATTTACAGGTTGCACTAGAGACACTAGAGGGTCATCAGCGAGCCATCATGGGGTCAATGACTGTGGAGGTCAGTATATTTTTTACCTCAAAATATTTAAAAGTTATGATGTTAGTTTTTATAACTCAAGCAGATAAATACTGAATTGAAATACATCCAATATAAACTAAGATTCATTTTAAGTGACGGGCCGACTTTTAAGCAGCTGTACAGTACACGCACACAAAAACCGTATGAGGCAAAATGTGAAGAACAATAACAATAGACCGGTTAGTACCATTAAATGATCGGTTCGAATCTTGTACAGATTACACTGCAAATCCCAGTCATAGGACACAGTTTGCTTTATATACTGTACTGTACTGCTTGCACTAGCAACTTGAAAGTCTGACTGGTACTTGAAATCAACCGGAATGTATACAGTGTACAAGGATTGAGTCGGACCAGTACAAATTTTGTGCATCTTTCATAATCCACGAGATTTTACGCTGTGTTCAAGTTGCTGTTGTTGTTGCTAGGAGATCTACAAGGACCGGAAGAAGTTCTCAAAGCAGGTGTTTGAGGTGGCCAGCAGCGACCTGGTCAACATGGGGATCACGGTGGTCTCATATACCCTTAAAGATATCAGGGATGAGGAGGGGTATCTTAAGGTAAGCCATTCAATCGATCAATTAATCCACCAATTTATCACACAATCAATCAATCAATCACTCAATCAATCAACCAATCAACCAATTTATTAATCAAATCGTTAATCAATCAAATCATTAATTTATCAAATAGTCGATAAATCAATTAGGTGTGGTTGATCAAGGAAATAGACAATCAATTTATAAATCAATTAATTTAGCAATGGATTAATCAATCAGATAATTAAATGATTAATTAATTAATTAATCAGAGTACATTTGTTAAGATTAGAACATAAGAAAAGATTTAAATTTTTCCTTTTCTTGTGAATTTGTGAACAATAGTTAGTTTGTTTGTTTGAACAATTCTTTAATTTGAATCTTTTCAAACTATTTTTGCTGCTGAAATTGCACACATTGCTATTTTTGAATATTATTTATATCCCTTTTTAAATGAAATCTTATCTTTATATTCAAACTCCTGATGTTCAAAGAAATAGTTCAAATGAGCAAATTCAATATGTAGATTTGAACCTATAGCATGACGTCATGTGAGTAGTTAATATACAATAGTTCAAATCATTAATAGTTTAAGCGATTAATGGTTCAAAGGACGGTAGTTAAAACAAATAGCCACCCTAGGAATGGGCCGAGTAAGAAGCTGTCGCCAGATAGAAGACGATATTTAATGCAAGCTCTGTTTAGGCTCTAGGAATGGCCCGAACAGCTGAAGTTAAAAGAGATGCTAGAATAGGAGAAGCAGAAGCTAAGAGGGACGCACAGATTAAAGAAGCAATTGCAGAAGAAGAAAGGATGGCATCTAGGTATACATCGATCATTATCATTTTTCTTTCCAACAACTTGAATTTTTTGTTTTATTTTAATCTAACATTTCTTTAAAAATGCTAACATTTTGTTTGAAGTTATGAACAGCAGGTTAGATGTATCTCACAAATTTTTATATTTCTAAAATTCTGTTTGTAATTTCGAAAAAAATGTTATTTTTTTCTAACAATTTGTCATTATTAGATATGTCTAAATTTGTGAGATAAATCTAAATTTGTATGATATTTTAGATTACTTAACGATACTGAGATCGCCAAAGCAAAGCGTGATTTTGAGCTGAAGAAAGCAGCTTATGACGTGGAAGTACAAACAAAGGTTAATGATTTAGAAATTTTTGGTAGACAAATTAAACAAGACCAATTTTGTAAATCCGGTTTTTTTTTGTTTATAGAAAGCAGAAGCAGAATTAGCCTATGAGTTACAAGCAGCAAAGACAAAACAAAGAATTAAAGAAGAGAACATGGAAATAAAGGTGATGATGATAATGATGATACTCCAGGTTATTGAACGAAGACAAGAAATTAATATACAAGAGCAGGAAATTTTAAGGTAAACCTATAAATTAGATTTTAAATTTTGTTTTATTATTTCATGAATACCAATTACTACTAAGCCACTCCCCCTTTAGAGAAGGGTACACTTCTCCTTTCTTGTATTCAAATAAAAGTCTAAAATTAAAAAGCAAACATTTTTCAGACGAGAAAAAGAATTGGACAGTTCTGTGAGAAGACCAGCGGAAGCTGAAAAGTATAGACTAGAGAAGATTTCAGAAGCTAACAGGTTAACCCAAGGAGTATAAAATAGAAGGGAGATTCAACTGACGCGGCCCGCCCTACCATATGAATATACATGCTTTGCAGACGGGTACTCCATTTGTATAAGAAATATTCAGAATAGGTTATTGCATACGCGGTAGTTGTACATCAGACAAATATTTCTTATTCAAATGAAATACCATCTGTTAAGCATGTATACTCTTATGGTAGGGCTGGCCGCGTCAGTTATATCTCCCTTCTATTTCATACTCCTTAGGTTAAAACGATAGTTTTTATTTTATTTGAAGTTATCCTTCATTATAAATAAAGGGGTGTGCCCGATCCGGTATCCTGTAAACCTGAATTTGATCAATAATGTGGAAATAACGTCCCATGTAAACCTGAATCTGATCAATAATGTGGAAATAACGTCCCCTGTAAACCTGAATCTGATCAATAATGTGGAAATAACGTCCCCTGTAAACCTGAATCTGATCAATAATGTGGAAATAACGTCCCATGTAAACCTGAATCTGATCAATAATGTGGAAATAACGTCCCCTGTAAACCTGAATCTAATCAATAATGTGGAAATAACGTCCCCTGTAAACCTGAAACTGATCAATAATGTGGATATAACGTCCGCTGTAAACCTGAATCTGATCAATGTGGAAATAACGTCTGTTTTCAAGCTTGAATAGTGTTTAATTCTAGAGAAAGAAATCCACAATTCACGTTTGAGGAGAAACAACAAATGAAATAAGAGAAAACACAATAAAAAATAATCAAATTGCAGCAATAAAAACAAGGATATCTCATTCTTCCTTTTTTAAATGAAGGGTCAATTTAAATTCTAACAACAACAATTTAAACTTTTTATTTGTAAAAAAGTCCGAATGAAGAATTTTAAGTGTTTTTATTTAGGAACAAGATGATCATGGAAGCTGAAGCAGAAGCAGAAGCTATTGCACTGAAAGGAGATGCTGAGGCGTATGCCATAGAAATCAAAGCTAAGGTGACAAGTAAAAAACTGCTTTTTTGTCAAAATTTTCCGATTTTTTTATAAAAATGTTGGTTTGAGTAGATTTGAAGATAAAATATTTGAAAAATCTTTCTAAAATCTGCATTCTGCAACTTAATTGTAAAATTTTATTTAAATCTCGAACCATTTTTCATCCCGGATCCGGATTCGTATGAAAGACTCGTTGTATCTAGGCTGAAGCTGAACAGATGGCTAAGAAGGCAGATGCCTGGAAGGAATATAGAGAAGCTGCCATGTTGGACATGATGCTCACTACACTACCAAAGGTAAGGAAGGCTCTTTCTCTCAATTTATCTAAACGATGTTAGGTACTTTCCAAAAGGCATTTTCCCAAGTGGCAACTTTCCTGGGGTATTTTCCCAAGTGGCAACTTCCCAAATGTGCAATTTCTCAAGTAAAAAACTTCCCGAGTCTGTTCTAGCCGCAGCACCCGGCCCCCTAGCCTGATCTAGCTGCTGCGCTCGGCCCATCCTAGCCGCAGCGCTCGGCACCGAATGCAGCCTTCGGCGCCTCAGAAGGCCGAATAACCTAACCTTTGGGAAGTTGCCGCTTGGGAAATTGCACATTTGGGAAGATGTCACTTGGGAAATTGTCACTTAGGAAGTCGCCCTTGGGAAAATGCCTTCGGGAAAATACATAACACCATTTAAACATACAGTGGGATTGATAAAACTGTGGCATTTGAAGACGACTGTCAGACTCAAGTTATGATCTTAAAAGGTCCAACAAAGAAGTTGCAGTAATTGTGCAGTGTACACTGATCCATTTCACCTAATTAGTTAATAAATTTAAGCAACATCAAATACAAACAAAAATTGCTTAAATGTAGTCTTCCTGTTTTGAAGTTTTATGGTTTTTTTGTCAAAACAGCTGATCCAATTGGGGCCTGATTTTTTTGTGATAACTCACAAGAAAGATTTTTGGCCAGTCAGAATTAAAAATGCTTGCTTGAATTTCGATTAGATTTCGATTTTGGAAATCTGCCAATATGTAGAAAAAAAATCTGCGAAAATAAATAAATAATTTGTTTTGAGATTGCTGCCGAGGTAGCTGCCCCTCTCTCCCAAACGAAGAAGATCACGATGGTTAGCGATGGTTCAGGGGAAATAGGAGCCTCCAGGATAACCGGCGAGGTATATTCAGTCTCGTTAATCGTTAATCGTTAATCGTTAATCGTTTTGAAAACTTTTAAGAAAACTTTCACGTTTTCAAAACTGTTTTCAGGTTTGATTTTTATTAAGCTTTACAATATTTTTGGTTCGTTTTTGTCGAAATGTTCTTTCAAGGTCAAAATTTTACATAATGTAAGAAAAACACATGTCTGGAATAAATAATTTTGAAAACAATTGCTCTTCTTACACTATGCAAAATTAGGACTTTGAAAAAAGAAAAAATTGACGAACCAACTGATTGCAAATCACTGGCCATATTTTAACGGAAAGAAGATATTTCGATTACTTACTGTTTTTAATATTCCCATTAAAAAACATAACAGTTTGATATTCCATATATAATAAACCAAGACATGTTCCCTATATATGGACCGAATAGGCTGAAATTTTTAAAAGGAACCCAGTAGTATCCCGGGGTAACATAAGCTAACAAAATTTCAAATATTTTTTTTTCAAATATTTTTTTTCAAATTCTTTTCAATTTTTTTTTAAATTAGATTTTCTAATTTCTAACCCTTTATTTTTTACTACATGTTCCATGATTTGTTTGATCTTTGTGAGATTTTACAAACTATTGCTAAACTTTCTTTTTAATTTTTTTTATAACTTTCTGAACAATTTGGGACATTTTTTGAACAAATTTTTAGATTTTCCGTAACATTTGTTAAAATTTCTTAAAGGTCTGGAACAGTTTGCTACATTTACAGCCGCTTTGTAAGAATGTAAGATTTGTAATACAATTTGTTACATTTTCCTGGTAGCTGGTTAAATATTTCTATTGATTTGTTAGTTTGATTAAAAAATAGATCTTTATTTCTGTTATGACACTGCTACACTCCGCCATTTATGTGCTCCATTCATGCACATAGAAAATTGTTTAAATCTTATCTATATTAAGCTGAACCAGGGGAGCTCATGTGTAAACAGCCTGAGCTATCTTGTAGCTCCCCGGTCACAATATACTTTTAATTGTTTGTTATTTTCAATTAGCATTTATATGTATGTACATTGTATAATTTGTGGCCTAATAAAAGATTTGATTTGATTTGATTTGATGACTATTTTAGGTTCTGGATATAATGGTCCGTGTACCGGGGATGGTGAAGACAATGACCGGAGTTGATATTTGCAACGTAAGACCAGGACGAACAATGTGCTAAATGTACTGCAGATATTGTACTGCACCTAGATGTTCTAGATGGATGTTTACATGTACGCGTACATAATTTTATAGATAGGAACTCAAAACTCTTTTATGACTGTGACCGTAATTCTATCAATTCATCGTAATTCTAAGTGACCTGTCGATTCACAACGGAACCTGCAATAAACTTAGTTTGAGAAAAGATAGAAGATATTGTCGTATTCCTATCCTAAAATATTCCTGCAGTAACTTACAACGGACTTTTTAAAACATCGAAAATTTAAATGAAAAATTAAAAAAATCTGGAAGACGCAGCTTTCCTTGAAAGCAATTCGTTGGTTTTGACACCTTAAGGGACTTACGCGTAATTTTAAGTGACCCTCCATGGAAAAATAGCCCGATTTATAACCTTCATCTGGTCAAAAATGCGTAAGTCACTGTCGCAGAAAAAATCGCATGAATATCTATTTTAATCCTTTTAAAGATGTTGAGATATATTAGACCAGTGTCCGAATTTAATGAATCTACGCCGCATATCAAATCCGCCAAAACCCGGTTTTAATTGAGTGCCAGCATAAATCTTGAAACATTGAATACGATTTTAAGTGGAACCAACCATATTTGAGCCGCGGCTTAAATTTAAGCCGCGGCTCAAATTCTTTAAATTTGGCCTCAGCTCAAATGAAACCTCCAGCTAAAAAAATTTTGTTCCATTTACCAATAATCTTTAATGTCGTCAGTTTTGCTAATTAAAACTATATGATCGCCACTGACTGAAATTAGACTGAAATTAGCGATTTTTTTCCTGCAAATATCTGAAGAAAGACACTTAAAAGGTGGTAGCAGAGCCATTTTTTCCATTTTCCATTTTAAAGTACTGTTTTAAAGGACTTTTCATGAAAGGTCGGATAAATTTTCACATTTTACTCCAAAACCGTGGGAGCAATTCCAAATCCCTGAGAGCAGCCACCCCTCCCTCATCAGTCATCATGCAAAGCTTTTAAATTCAATTTTAAATTTTGAAATTACTCTTACTACAGCCCCTTTAAATAAACACTCTAATCTATCAGCCATTTTACTTTTCAGATTATTTCCAGTTAAAATAAAAAGAGTTTTGTCATTTGAAAAAAATATGTAAATATGTAGATAGTTATGTGTAATTTGCCACACTTCTTTTTTTTCACTTTTTTCATTTTTTTCTTATCTTTTTTTTATTTTCAAATTCTCTTAATGATTCTATTCTTTCATTTTTTTATTTTGATTCTTTTTCGTAATTTGAACAGATCGATCCATTTAGCTTTTTTTCAATATTTTTTTTATGTAGTTTGCAGCCAAAGAGAATAGAATATGTATTAGAGTGGAATTTACCAGAAAAAAGTGTAAAACGGCCATTTTGTTGTACGGCTTCCATACTGCAGGTGTACTTCAAATATTCGTGCTATATAACCTTTTGGGCCCTGGAACATCATTTTATTGAAAATCTAAAATTAATATTAAAAGTAAACCAAATTATGAAATAGGCTGGTTTCATAATTGACCAATGATCATTTCACATAGACTCTATGCCTTTCACTTTACAAACGATGATTTTCCGTTATAACTATAAATCAAATTTTGTTTTTTAGTCACCTAATTCATTTTATAACGTTATTTCGAATTTAAAAATTGGAAATTGAATTGGATAGTCTTGGGAACATACTGTATTAATGTACTCTACTGCATATAATTTGTGAACATTTACATGATTTGTACACTTTGAAGTCCCTTTCAGGCTGAAAGGGACGGACAAAATTCATACCGAGGGAATGTATAAATTCCACTCTAATTTATAATCTATTCTCTTTGTTTGCAGATCTAACATTTGATATTTTTAGTGTAATTTCTTTATCCTTAAGTTGGAACATTTTTGTGAAGTATGATTAATCTTGAGCGAATGATTTTGATATCAAATGCGGAAACTTCGAAAGGCTTGATCCCTAAATCAAAGTTATCCCAGCAGGGAATGGCCATCATTAAATGAATACGTAAATCAAGGAGATCAATACTTGATACTGAGATTCACAACATAAAAGGAATTGAGGCTTTGTCACAAACTCAAATTTACTGATCCCTATATCTTTGAAACCTTTAATACATCAATCTTAGCTTATTTAATATAACCCAATTCATAGCTTGAAATATCTAATGGGTTGCTCAGATATTGGGATTAGAAAATCAGAGTTCAGACTTCTTGGAAATTATTTTAGAACAAAATATTTTAATTTAATAAAACACTATATTTTTTAATGTTAAATGTTTTTTTAGATGAATGTTGGAGGGGGCCCACCTAGAAGTCCACAACCAAGAATCCGAATTAGAACATAATTATTTCGACATACAGACATAGGAATATTTTGACATACAGACATACACACATATAGGAATATTTTAATATACAGACATAAACGCATAAATATACATAGACACCCAGACATGAACATATACATACAGACACAGACATACAGACGTACATACATGAAGTTAGACATGCAGACATAAATATGTACTTACAAAAATAGACTTTAAAAAATATGGACATACAGACACCCATATAGATAGAACGGCATACAAATAGACAAAAAGCGTAAATATACTGCCGCAACGACATAAAATTATACTGAAAGGCATAAATTTAAACAAGGGCATAACTAATTACTGAGACACAGACAAAAGGCCATAAATGCAGAACCAAATTGACATGCAAACATAATACATACATACATATATACATATAAACCTACATGCTGACATACCTTATTTTTATATTCATGGCATAAAGTTTTATACAATTTAAAAAAACTGTTTTGCTCTAAAAAAGTTTTTGCTACAAACTCAAATTTTCTTATCCTTATATCTTTGGAACTAAATGTCGTAAACCTTTGATGTTTCAAACTATAAAATCTGTTAGATCAAATAATTTAAGTTTGAAAAAATCAAAGGTTTTAACCATCCGGTTGCAGCGATATAGAAATAAAGTTTCTGGCAAAAACTCAGTGTCTTTAAAAAAACATCTAATCTCTTCTAACAGTATTTTTCGTATCACATTATATTTTTGATACGGTAGTTAATCACAACATCAATCTTTCAGCGGGATTTTTAGAATTTTCAACTATTAAAAAAATATGTAAATTGTATTTATTTATAATTACATAAGGTGCTTTCCAAAATCCGTTTAAACAAAAATAAGTCACTGATATCTACACTTAGTAAATGATCAAAATAAAGGGCCTAAAAATAAAAGTTTGTTTCAGAAAAAATACTGACTTCAAAAGTTCAAACTTAAATATTTAGGACAAATTGTAAAAATAATTTATCAACCATGCTTCATGGTTACATTAGTATCCATTTAAAGACTGTCATACACGATTCACAGTGGCACCCTTCAAACCTAAGTCTGATAAAAAAATGTTGGAGATATTCCTGTTTTTCTTTTATTTATTATTTTCAATTGTGGTTCTTTATAAAATTATTGTGCAGATTTATGCAGTAGAAGAAAATCTAGTGAAAATACTGAAGGATCAGGTTAAGCTCCTCTACAAGGATAAGAAAAGTTTATTCATAAATTTAAAACGTTTGTGTTCTTCTCAAAAGCTCTTTAATAAGAGAAGTTATGATTGATCTTAACTCTAGTATGCCAAGTCCATTAGCGCCTGATCCAATCTGGGTTCAGTCATGTATTTTTTGTCTATTCTGAACCAATAGAAATTGCATGGGGGTATAACATCTATCTTTCTATCTAGCTCATTATCCAATTAGAGATATGAATCCTTATATCGGCGCTATCAGTGAATGGAAATATTTCCTTATACTGAAACTATAGTGTTACGTGCAATTTACTTTAGTTTCACGTGTCCTCATTGTTATGAAGGGTATCATTGTGAATCGGACTTGAGGGTCACATAAAATTATGCCCATAGTCTCTTTAGCGATCATAATCACTCCTGTATGCTGAGTCCATTAGCGCCTGATCCAATCAGGGTTCAGTCATCTATTTTTTGTCTATTCTGAACCAATAGAAATAGTATGGTGGTAACATCTATCTTTCTATCTATATCATAATCCAATTAGAGTTATGAATCCTTAAATCGGCGCTATCAGTAAAGGTAAATATTTACTTCTGATGAAACTGTAAGTTTAACATTTACATTTTAACAGTTTGTCAGACATTGAGAAATGTTTTAATGATATTTCTCAAAGGATTATTTTTTTGTTCTGCTGGAAAACACTTTTTTTATTGACAAAGTATGAATTGATATTGTAAACTGTGTATCTATCAATAATTAAAAAATTTATATATTTCCATGTCTTAATATTGTAATTGCAAAGATAATGTGCGATAAAAGTGCTAATGCTAAAACAGCTCGGATTTAAGAATGACAAATATGAATTTTTTATCATTACAGGAATTAAGTCTTTGCCACAAACCCAAATTTTCTAATCCCTAAATCTTTGCAACCTGATGATGTTAACACTTGATATTTCAAACCCATAGATTATTTCATCCAACAGAATTTATAGTTTAAAATATCTACAACATTTGGTTGAATTGCAAAGAGATATGGATTCGAAAATCAGAGTTTGTGACAACAATATATATATCATTTTTTCTTTTTTACATTACCCTGTTTTAAAATGACCTAAAACTGCCAACTCTTGTACATAAGGTTTAACTCGTTTTGTATCTTTGTGCTGTACACTTGTGCGCTAGTTCATGTACATAACTGTTCCTATATTTAAACAGGTTCTCATGTAAATTCTTATGCATATGCGAAAACAATGCAAAATTGATTTCTGCGAGTGCAATGTGCCAAATGTGAATTTTGTGCCAAAATAACGTCTTTGCCATAATCAGTATTATTCTATGATGGCCGCCTAACTGAAAAAGAATGAAAGAGATAAGAAAGCAAAGAGTAAATAACATAAAGAAGCAAAGAATAAATGATATAAGAAAGCAAAGAAAAGAATAAATGATATAAGAAAGCAAAGAATAAATGACATAAGAATAATTAAAAATGAATGCATGAGAATAAACTAAACTAATTGAAAGCAAATGAGTTTGTATACAGTTAAACCCGGAGATTCGAAAGTATTTATTAAATGTCGTCTTTACAATTTTTTAATATGTTTTATTCTATTATATATATCTGAATTTCAGTAATTGTAAAGATAAAAAATAGACAAAAAATGTGCACGAATAGTTTTGAAGAGCTCAATATAATCGTTAAATTAAAAACTAAATATCTGCAGCATTCCATTATCAGTAGGATAAAGAGACAGTTTATAAATTCTTTCGATGACTCCGAAGTTCTGATTCAAACTGTAATTAAGAATGTGAATGAGTTATAGGGTGTCCCAAAAAAAGAATTATTTAAAAAGACGATATCGAATTCGTCTCTGAATTCCCATATTTATTGGAACACCCTGTAGAATAAATGAATTGTAAATTTTTGACTCGGTATGAATTTGTGTAAATATCTTTTTTATACAAATAAAGTTTTTAGTGTTCAGTCAGCGTACAATTAGTCAGTTTTCGAGAATATGTATCTATTAAAGGGACTTTTTAGAGAATATGAATTCATTAAAGGGACTGTTTAGAGAATATGTATTTATTAAAGGGACTGTTTAGAGAATATTTATTTATTAAAGGGACTGTTTGGAGAATATGTATTTACTAAAGAGACTGTTTAGAGAATATGTATTTATCAAAGGGACTGTTTAGAGATTATGTATTTATTAAAGAGAATGTCTAGAGAATATGTCTTTATTAAAGGGACTGTAAGCGCATTTTAAGTAACACTTGAAATTACGCTTACAGCCCAATCCATGGGCGATTTTCAATATGCAGTCCAATGTGTGTATATCTCGCAGATGTTGTCAAATATTGTTACGGTCGTCGTCGTATATATCAATACAATGAAGACGAATTTTGTTTTATATTTCTTTATTTCTACCAAGCTTTCAGACAGCAAGGATACACGTAAACTTGGAAACAAAGAGAAGTTGTCATTTAGCAGCTTCTCTTTGTTTACTTGGAATCTTGTAATTGAAAAAAATCTTGTTAGAAATAAGTCGTCTTTATTGTATTGATTTAAACACCAACCATTGTATTCAATGTGTTTCTGTTTTTAAATAAGTCGTCTTTATTGTATTGATTTAAACACCAACCATTGTATTCAATGTGTTTCTGTTTTTGAATAAGTCGTCTTTATTGTATTAATTTAAACACCAACCATTGTATTCAATGTGTTTCTGTTTTTAAATAAGTCGTCTTTATTGTATTGATTTAAACACCAACCATTGTAGTCAATGTGTTTCTGTTTTTAAATAAGTCGTCTTTATTGTATTGATTTAAACACCAACCATTGTAGTCAATGTGTTTCTGTTTTTAAATAAGTCGTCTTTATTATATTGATTTAAACACCGACCATTGTATTCAATGTGTTTCTGTTTGGTCCAGTTTAAGCCCTCTGATCGACCTGAAATGACAGAATGACTCATCTAAAGATCATGATCCAGACATTTTACAAATTCAAGTCATCAAGATTTCATCTCCCCTGTTCATTGAATTAAAGGGAAGGAAAAGAAATGTTTTATTACAGTGGTTGGCGTATATGCAAATACAATGAAGACGACTTTTCTTTTTTAGTTTTGATTTCTAACAAGCTTTTTTAAATTTTATAATTAAAAAAAGAGACGCTGACAGCTGTTAATTGGCAGATTCTCGTTATTTCGATGTTTATGCGTATCCATGCTGTTTGAGAGCAATGCAGAATTAAAATTTAAATCGAAAGTCGATATACACGACGACGACAACTGTAGATACCTTCATTTGGACAAACTAAGAATTCGTTGTATATTTGAATTAAATCCAAATCTATGGATACCCACAAAGGATTAGACTGTAAAGACGCCCCAGAAATGTAAAATATGACGATTTGAAGCTTAATTTTTGATTTCTGCATTAATTGGGTATTTTGATGGTTTACTAAATTGCCAAGCAGAGAAATAAGCCAGTTTTGGCCTACAAAGAACCCTGAATGCAAGAAAATGGACTTAACAAATTCCGTACAATCGTCTCTGAAGGGTCATTCTTTGTGGGTAACCCTGTATATATTTGGCTTTGTATCCAATAAACGCCGAAACGGCCGAACTGAACTGGTCCAAATCGTACAATCGTCTCTGAAGGGTCATTCTTTGTGGGTAGCCCTCTATATATTTGGCTTTGTATCCAATAAACGCCAAAACGGCCGAACTGAACAGGTCCAAATGTTTGACCCCAGGACTATTTTGAAATGTTTGCCCCAATTTGTAAATTCACTTTTAAAAACAGACAAATCCGCAAATATGTTCATTATTTTTAAAAAAACAATGCTACCCTTTCAGAAACATTAAAGGGGCTGTTAAGCGTGATTTTAAGTGACCTTCATTCAAAGAAAACAATTCCAGATTTTACAACGGAACCCTTTAAACCTTAATCTGATCAAAAATGTGGAAGATATCTCGAGAGGTGTTTATTTCTGTGAGTTTCAACATTGCTTCTTATTAACAAGAAAACCGCAAATGAAAATAAACAGTTCAATAAAAATTGTTAAAAAGTAGTTGTAAATCGGACATTGCCATCTTTGCATTCAGGGTCACTTGTAATTACGCCTACAGTCGCTTTTAAGCTGCACGAACGACCAAGGAAGTGTAGAAGTTGTACAATTGTGTAAAGCAATCTCTAAAAAAAATTTCTAAGATTAAATTACTAATTGTCAAACGAATTCTGCATATTATTTCATGTATCCTAGAAGATCTTCAAGTCGTCTCTTAACTATCATGTTAAGTAGTACACCCTGCAGCTCACAAGTTTAAGGCTTGCTTTGTCAATCAATCTTTCTTCTCCGAAAATGTTTTGAAAATAGTTTAAATTTATTAACTATAATTTGTAAAGATTTCGGAATGATAATAATTAACAGGAATGGTCCAAACTGGTTTAAATTGTTATTGTACTAGAATTGTACAATGAGTCCTGAAAACCGGTTCCAATCAAGAGTACAGCTAATGTAAAAACATAAACAAAATAAATATGTTGAGCAGGTGAAATAATGTAACAAAAATGTTAGATGAACGTAGATACAGAAAAATGGTAACACACAAGGTCGGACTAAAAAGAGGTTTCTTGTTTCAATTTCCCATTTCTCGTTTCTGTACGGTTACGTTGCATTGCCTAGGTACCTCCCAGGGTACATAAGTTGCGGCAAAGAAGTTGGCTTGTTGTACAAGATTGACTAGTTACTAATTTACAATTAAATTAACAAAGAATTGAAAAGCAAAATGCCCTTTTTAGATTTGATGCCAATTAAGAACAAGTTTAAATAATTGAGTTTTCATGTATCTAATCAATTTAAAGTCTATTTGCCAAAGCCAAATGAAGGTGAAGGTGCAGCGTGATAAGTTGCATCACGCCACTTACTCAAATCCATACGGGGTAGAATACCCGACTTGCATGGAACTCTTGGGTTAATTTCATGATCTGGCAGCACCATAGCGTAAACTTGTACATTATCCAACTCATCAGAGTTGTCACAAAGGATTCTGGACATCTTCATTTTGCGGATTTCTCCAAGTTGTTCAACAGTGAAGCTTGATGGCCATCCTCCATTCTCATACCAGAACCGATCTCCATGTCGGAAGTTGTGGAACTGTCTTCCTATGACGCATGCTAGGGTGGGGCCAACCAGTGATCCTGAAGACAGGTTCTTTATCATTTACTTCCTGGACCAGTCAAAATGTCAGTCAATCTGCCATAATAGGTCAGGTTATGAATATTCATTCATGCATGGCCAAATAGGTTTTTATCTCATTCAAACAGAGGAATTGAAAAGTAAATTCTTCAATAAATATAAATACATAGTTTAATGCTTTAATTTAAATTTTTGAAAGGGTTTAGCTTTAATTTGATTTGTTGTAAAGAACTTTTTCCTGGAAGGGGTTTCTCAGTAACAGCAGAGGACCAGAGATCCAAGTCTTCAACAGATGCATACACACCAGCATATGCCTTGACCGAGTTGTTAGGCATAATATCATGAAGATCCTCCCAGGTGTTCATTGGGTGGAGTCCACACCATTCTCTCCATCTTTTATAATGTTAATTTTAGTCACTATCATGTAAATTTTCAACCAATTAAGCAATCATTAATATCAATAAAGCAATCAATATAAGCACAAACCTATTATAAGAGGGGACACCATGTTCTCTTCCTCTTGCAATGTTAAGAGCTGCAAGATCCATTCCAAATTTCTTTCCTGGTTCTTGGAACAAATGGTTAGTAACCTCCTGGGTGACGGAGGAGTCGAATGCTTGAGCAACCTGGAAATTTATTTGGTTATGATGCTTAAGAAAGCCTAAATATTTATATAATTTGCAAAAGAAAGGTCCTTTTTACCTGGTTGATGAGTCCCATCATGTAAGCATCAGACCATCCAGGCTTGTACAGATCGTATGGTTGCTGCAACATCTCAGAAAGCTTTTGAGAACCAACATATCTGAAAGTAAATGAGTCTTAATCATCTATGAACAAATATCAATAAGTAACAATTGCATTACTCAGGGAAAGTAAAATATTTATTTCTTATCTTTCCTACCTGTGGGTCTTAGACCATCTTTCAATGGTTGAAGGAAGGAGAGTATGTCCAAAACGGAATGCAGCAGACACAAAAGAAGCAGCAGCAGAAGGGTTGGTGGCACTAAATAGAGAAATAATTCAGTAAAGAACATAGATAAATAACTAGTTAATATAAATGCAAACTCCACAATCTTACCTGTCATATCCATCAAAGTATCCTTCCTTGAGCAGAACCAGATCATTCCTCTGCATCACTTCCTTTCCAAGAACCATGGGGAGGAACTCATTGTAGGTAATATGTTGGACGAGAGCAGCAATGATATGCCGGACTTCCTGATAAGGATAAAACATTGGGTTGTTTTTTCATGAGTTCCAGTGAAAATTAAATTAAATTTCAAGGTTCATGGAGCTCTGATCCCGGAGTTAGAGTTTATGTGATCATCCGATTATCTCATAATTTCTACCTGGAAAATTGTTTCGTCATTCCAATGAGGGTTGATCTTGGAGAGTTCAACTGCAATTCTGTTGTGCTCTCTCACGAATAGGAGGTGAACCATTGCAAGAACAGTTTGCTCATTGACTCTAAATAAAAATGTTAGAGTCTTATTTTTTAAAATGGCTAGACAAAATAAAGATAAAGACAAAAAATGACAATACCTGCTATCACCAGCCAAAAAGCAGAAAACATCTTCTTGGGGTCTAAAATTAATGTTTGATTTATTTTTAAAAGTATAATCATCACATGCTTACTGTACCCCATAGATCATCATATTTTTTTATTACATTGATAACCATTTTGAAATAGAAAATGAGCCATTTGTTTTTTGTTCTTTATTTCCAATAGTTTGATATTATTTTCAAATTGAATTGGTCCTCTGGGTTTAATGATTATTAGAGTATAAACAATACCTGATACAACCCTCATCAGGTTCATGAAGCTTCAGAGGAAGAAGATCCCTCATATTGAACTCAGCAAAGGCAGGCAGAGTCTTCAGTAGTCCACCCTTATAAAGCCTGAACAGGACAGTTGGTTAGTTGTTTAGAGCAGGGACAAAGAGATGGTTAAAGTTTAATTTTCTATTCAGTCGTAAATGACGTCAGCTCTTTCAGAACAATCTTAGCTAGTTTCTGTCTAAAATTAGTTTTAAGAAAGCTTTATTTCTTCGTAAGGTAATTTTGTTTTCTTACCTCAGCATCTCCTGTTTTTCAGGTGTACTTCCATAAACAGTTCCAGCGTCAAGGATGGAGGAGATCTCATTTGTTGGTGTTCTAGGTCCTAGTCTGCAATTATGACGAAGACCAGCCTGAGAAAAGATCAATCTTTGTAAATAAATCAAAAGTTTGAGGTAAATGAAAATTTTGACACATTAAGTTAAATTAAATTTAAGTTTTGACACAACTGGTTTAATGAAGCGCTTACATGAGACATGTGGAATTGTATTCTATGTTAAAAATCATCATATTACCACAAGATATATATTAATTAGTTTAAAAATGCAATAACCATAACGGAATGGAATGCTATCTACCTCAGTCCTAACAAAGTTCATACACTTTCGGTTATGAGAGGCGTAGAAGTTATCACCAGGAGGAATTTCAATGGGCAAGCAGTTGGGGTGATTGGCTTGAGGGCCACCATCACAGCACTTGGGAGTCTTTTTTGTTATAGGGTCCTAGATAAATACAATCATTTAATGCATTTAAACTGAATGTAACATTAATAAAAATCTAATTGTAACTTCAAGAACATTGAGAACGTACGCGAACATGAAATATTTAATTGTTACTTAAGAATACGGGTTCCAATCAGAATTCCGATGCGTTGAACTACTTCTGTTGTGCACCGGTTCAAGTTAAAGATTAAGTGGTTCAACTTTGGCCATGCTATACTCAAATCTGGTCTTAGATCTTGCATCTACAATGTACCTTAGTTTCAGCGGTTAGCGTGATGTCATGATCAATAAACTGCCCCCAGGCAACCAGGAGGATGGTTACAGCGTGGTCATGGAAGCCTTCATCCTAAATATCATACGTTAGAAGAACTAAAACTTAGAATCAATATAATTTTTAATGATGTTTTGAAAAAGACAAAATACAATTTACTTTTTCTAAATCTTTTACAGTATTTGTCAACAATGTTTAAAATGAAAAAATATTTGGATAAAAACATTCAAACATTCAAATTTGCTTCATGAATGATGATTTTTTAAGTATTTCTAAATATAATGTATTCCGAATTGTAAAAAGTTTTATCTAAAATCAAAATAAATCCAAAATAAATGCCAAATATTGTGTGTTTCAATTTAAGTCAAATAAACAGTTTTTTTGCAACATTTTCCCACGAATATTTACAATTTGATAATTTGATTCGTCAATTTGTCAACAATACAAAATTTGGTTGTGTGGTGAATTCAAATTCATTCCACCACTGTGTAACTAATGTCTTTATTGGATAGGATGGATCCAGATAGATAGGATGGATAGGATGGAAAAGGATGGATAGGATGGATAGGACGGATAGGACGGATAGGATGGATAGGATGGGTAGGACGCATAGGACGGATAGGACGGATAGGACGAATAGGACGGATAGGACGGATAGGACGGATAGGATGGATATATTTACCCTGTGAACACTTGAAGAAACCAGTCTAGCGGAAGGAAGGGGATATCCTGAAAAATATTATTTATAAAATAGAACAAATCAGGATAAAATTTATAATTCTAATCCCAACCTTTACATTTAATTAAAATTTTTTACACAAATACTCTATCCTTTATATATACTCATTGATCCAACCCATATTCTATCCCTTCTATATAAACGTTGATACAATCTTCAACAATAATTTATCCTTTATAAATACACATTGATCCAACCATGTAACCTTCCTCAACTCATTTTATCTACACATTGATTTTGTACCAATAATCTATCCTTTATATGTATGCATTGATCATGTACCAATACTCTATCCTTTATGTATTCAATTGATCCTTTACCAATACTCTATCCTTTATGTATTCAATTGATCCTTTACCAATACTCTATCCTTTATGTATTCAATTGATCCTTTACCAATACTCAATCCTTTTTTTATACATTGATTGTGTACCAATACTCTATCCTTTATATATACACATTGATCCCGTACCAATACTATATCCTTTATATATGCACGATGTTCCAAACAATACTCCATCCTTTATTTAGACACATTGATCCTGTACCAATTCTCTATCCTTTATACATACACATTTATCCTATAACAATACTCTATCCTTTATATATACACATTGATCAACCACATCTTTTTTCGTAATATATACACATTGATCCAACCAATACTCTATCCTTTATATATCCACATTGATCCAACCAATACTTTATCCTTTATATTTAAGCATTGATCAACCAATACTCTATCCTTTATATATACACATTGATTCAACCAATACTCTATCCTTTATATATCCACATTGATCCAACCAATACTTTATCCTTTATATTTAAGCATTGATCAACCAATACTCTATCCTTTATATATACACATNCAAAAGTACTTTATCAAGTACTAATACTCTATTTTTTATATATAAGCATTGGACCAACCTGTAACGGAAGCCCTGGGTGCGGAAACCCCGTCAGCATAATCTGGAGGCAGGAATCTAAATAACAAATTAAAATATCATTTTAAGAATTCATATCATTGTTCTCAGTATTACAGTAATAAATAAGCCTGCAAATAAACCTTCCTCATATTACTTTAAGAAATAATTATCTTATATTCAAAGAATATTGCCATAAATCAAGAATCTAAGATGAACTTCCATATGATAAAGTGTACTACAGTTTTTGGGAGGAATGTTTGTAAAGTTTGGGCAACCCTGCACGTGTTTAAATTCCTCCTAGAACTACAGTACACTTCCTGTTTTATATATTTTTCGCGTACATATATTCAAGTTGTCTATTTTTTGTGAATTCAAGATGGCATTCTTTACACTTTACACTTTACAGTGTATTTTGTACACTAAAATCCTAAATAATGACTTGTACAGTGACAATTTACACTAAAATCCAACATGGCTATTTCTAAACTGTACACTGTACAGTGTACAATGCACTAAATCTCAACATTGATACCTGTAAATTTTGTAAATTAGATTCCAATATGGCTACCTATACAGTGTACACTACAATCAAATATGGCTACCTGTACACTGTAAATTGGACTACAATATAGCTACCGGCCTGTACATTGTAAATTTGAGCCCAATATGGCCTCCTGTACACTGTAAACTAGAATCCAATATGGCTACCTGTACACTGTAAACAAGAATCCAATATGGCCGCCTGTACACTGTAAACAAGAATCCAATATAGCCGCCTGTACACTGTAAACTAGAATCCAATATGGCCGCCTGTATACACTGTAAACTAGAATCTAATATAACCACCTGTACATGTAAACTAGAATCCAGTATGGCAACCTGTACACTGTAAACTAGAATCCAATATGGCAACCTGTACACTGTAAACTAAAATCCAATATAATCAAGTGTACACAGTAAACTAGAATCCAATATGGCCGCCTGTACACTGTGCAGCATTTTAAAATACTGCATACTGTAAACAAGAATCCAATATGGCCACCTGTACACTGTAAACTAGAATCCAATATGGCCGCCTGTACACTGTAAACTAGAATCCAATATGGCTACCTGTGATGAGCATTCATAGCTGCTCCCCAATGAGGATTATCAAGATTATTGCACAAACCCTCGATGGACCTAAAAAGATTGAAATGAAATAAAAACATAAACAGTTTTTTTTTAATCTTGATGAAAAATGGCGACAAGGTAATATGATATTTTCCCGCTGTGTTGTATATAAAATCCTGTCATATCATTCTATAAAAGCCTGGAGGAACCCATAAATGGAGTTCCAAAAAAAACGGAATCCCCAAAAAATTACAATATTGTTGTCAATTATAATTTAAACAATGCTTCCAACAGCAAACTTCAAAGGTTAGAATCGTGTTACAAATTTAAATTCAATATTGTTTTTTTTGAACAACCTGAGAAACCAGCGGGATCTCTGTATTATTCTTTGGTTCCTGTTTCCTTGCAGTGTAAACTTACTATCCTAATATCCAACTATCCTACTATCCTACAATCCAACTACCTACTATCCTACTATCCTACTATCCTATTANCAATTAATGGTCAACATATAGATTTAATACTTTGTCAGATGTATCCCTTCAGATCTTAGGCAAAAAATTATGAGAATTTTGCCAATTACTTCTAAAAAACTAAAGCTAAAAACAGTGCTGTGTAGATCTAAAATACAGGACGAAAGGAATCGTGTAAGTGAGTTTTTGAGGTTCGATGAAATGTTCAGGAGTCAATAACTTATCGAAGGGGGAGGGGGGGGGGGACTTAACCTTTTTCAATTTTCCAGAAGAGGGTTGAATGGTGAATCCATTCCGCGGATTATTTCAAGTACTTATTATTTCAAAGTACAACTTTAAGAATGACTCGACGTAATAATCCTTAACCCCATAAATTCACACAGTTTTTCAACTTTGACAACCTGATATTTTATATGTCGAAAGGAGTAATCCCTTTGTTCTATCTTAAAATTAATTATTTTCAATTGCAGTAAAATCAATTTTCCAATTTGTGCAGCAAAAGAAACGAAGAAAATGTCAGAATTAAACACTTTTCCAGATAACAGAGTGTTGGCGTCCTACCTTAGATAGAGCATACTGTTTAGCCAGGTATCTGGAGGCTTCGTAGATAACAGTCCCAAGAGAAGCAATGTCATGAGGACTAAACTTTCCTGAAAAGAGTTCAATTCAAAAACAGATTTTTAAACCTTTTTTCTCTCTATTCAGTCATAGTTTAAAGACTGATGGATAGATGGATGAATAGATAGAAAGATAAATATAGATAGATAGATAGATAGATAGATAGATAGATAGATAGATAGATAGATAGATAGATAGATAGATATATAGATAGATAGATAGATAGATAGATAGATAGATAGATAGATAAAAAGATAGATAGATAGATAGATATATAGATAGATAGATAGATAGATAGATAGATAGATAGATATATAGATAGATAGATAGATAGATAGATAGATAGATAGATAGATAGATAGTTAGATAGATACCTTTAACAGGGGGAAGCCCTAAACGATCTCTCGCGGAAAGGAACGCAGCGTTGACTGCCTAAAAAATTGGGGGAATTAAAAAAATCAGTAAAATATGGGAAACTATCAAAAACCAACCAATCAATCAATAAATATGCAATCAAATAATCAATTTATTAATCAATCGATTAAAAAAACAGCCTACCTCAAATGTGATACATGTATTCTGACCATCGTATGTATTAGGCCGGCCGCCGAAAATCTGATTTGCCTGATCAAACAGCGCCGATTTGCCGGGCCCTGGAATAATCAGTGCACAACCGGCGTTGGCGCTTGGAGGTGGGGGTGGCGGGGCTCCAAACCGGTTTGGGTATTGAGCCGCAGCGCCCACTACTAAGAGTAAAGCTTGCAGCGCCTGCATGGTAGGTGTGTGAGGGGGGAGGGGGCGGCTGCCAAAACTTTCCAATATATTTCTGAAAATATCATAAATATTTAAATTTTATCATCTAATTATTTTTTAAAGCTTGAAAACCAGCTTTTCTTTTATATTTTCTCTACAAAATCTACTCTTTAGAATTGTCAAAACAAGCTGAAAATATTCTACCTTCTTCCCTGGTTAAAATCGGTTCAGGGGGGTTCATAAGTTATGCTGTACAAACACACAGACAAACAGAAATTACTACTTAATATGTACATGTACATATGTACATTGTACATACAAGTAAATGTAAATTAACAGAACATTATCTTTGAATTAAATCAAATAAAGAGTAAAAGTATATTCTGAGCTAAAAAACTTTAGACATGGGATATCCTCAATCCCGATCGGTTAATCAATCTGGAGATTAATAACAAGAGGAAAACAAGCCTTATTTAATCTCGAGATTAAGAAAAAGAGTGGATCAAGCATTAATCCCGATATCTACCATTCAAAAGTTCCCAGATCAGAACTTATAGAGTTAAAACTTGTGTCATGTATAATGTATAATGTATAATGTATAATGTATAATGTATAATGTATAATGTATAATTTATAATATATAATGTATAATGTATAGTGTATAATGTATAATGTATAATGTATAACGTATAATGTATAATATATAATGTATAATGTATAATGTATAATATATAATGTATAATNGCAGTACAACCAAATAGTTCTATTTACAGTACAACCAAATAGTTCTATTTACAGTACAACCAAATAGTTCTATTTACAGTACAACCAAATAGTTCTATTTACAGTTCAACCAAATAGTTCTATTTGACCAGCTATAAAACTTCCTTGTTTGTTTGTCCGATCATAACTCATATACCTCTCGACCAATTTGCCTCAAATTTTTATTGGTGAATTCGGGAGAACCACGGGAATATTCTTCGCCTTGGATTTAAGAGTGGGTCGACTTTTACAGGAAATAAATTGCTAAAATCGTAATTTAAGACCAAGCGCGGCCGGGTAATTGGCTGGAGTACCTTAAGCAACGGTGGATTCCCAAGCTAGTATAATGTAAAGATGTTGTTGATTTTTTTTTAAAAACTTATTGCGTAACACTAATATTTTGTACTAGATGCAGTATAATTTTTGAATTATATTTGAATATTAGTTTGCCTGGGAATATCATAAAACTTTATAATGTTTATAAATATTACAATACTAAAAATATGTAATATTTATACATACCACACTATACTAGGGATATCTGTACCACAATAGAATAAGGAAGGATATGCATATCCACATTTAAATCAGAAGGGATGCCACAATAGAGTAAGAAGCCATGTTTGATTATTTTTATTCAAACAAATAGCTATCTATCTAACTATCTATCTATATAATATATCTATCTATTTATCTATCTATCTATCTATATAATATATCTGTCTGTGTATGTATCTATCTATCTATATAATATATCTATCTATCCATATAATATATCTGTCTATGTATCTATCTAATATCTATCTATCTATTTATCTATCTATCTATCTATTCATCAAACCATATGTCTGATTGAATTTGACTACTTAACAATAATGACAAGCCTGAGATGAATTACTACAGAATTATCCTCAACTACAGGGTGTCCCAGAATTATCCTCAACTACAGGGTGTCCCAGAAAATTGAAATTTACTCTTAGTGCAATTCTTCAAATGTTATTTGTTTTTAATAAATTAAAAACTTGGAACTCTTCATCCCTAAAAAGTAAAATTTCTTACGCCCCCATTTTACGCAAGCGCGTGAGTGCGCGCGCCTGATAACCTTCCGGTTTCTTGACCTTCATCTTTAAATGTACTTCAGGCGCAAAGATAAAGCTTGCGCCAAGCTAAATTGTACACTGGGCAGACAGATATTCGCGGATTTTTAGATTTCAGACGTTGTGGTGTTTTGCGTTAAGCTTTCCGGGAAAAAAAATAGTTCTGATGTGACGCACGGCTGGCGTTTGAACGCTACCTGCGCACCTTTCACTAGTTGGATGCGAACTGAGTCCTAGGCGCCGGGTCTATAAAGGCGCCAACATAGGCGCCAACACCGTCGCAACATCTGTAGAGAATGTGGTTCTCCTATTGGCTGAAAAAGTCACGTGACGAGGGGATACCAGATCCGCTTGTATCAATCTTATGCATTTTAGATCCAGATACGAAAATATATAAATACTTTTATAGATTATAGATATATTTATTTGAATATATATATGCATTCATATCTAGTATAACTAGCTTGGGAACCCAGCTTTGCCTGGCTTTAGAATAATTTTTGTTAAAAGCCATGAACATTCCCCTAGTTCTACCAAGTTTTTCAATCAGAATGTTAATGGGTTTCTGAGTTATGATCGGACATACAAACAAACAGACAGACAGACAAACTTACTATCTACTTTACATATTTCAGATATACACAATACAGATATAAAAAATACAGATTTAAATCTACTGAAAAAGTCTGTCTTCTAATTTACGTAGAAATAAAAGCATTTTAATAATTATCTCAGATAAAGGCAAAAACTCAAAAAGCCCTTCAAAGTATTACTATTTGAGTGACAAAATAAGAAAGACATTATTTTATTTTATAAAAATTTTGAAAGCCTTATTTTTATCAACATTTTAATGATTAATAATTTTCATAACTTTTTATTCATGACCCTTAGAACATTTTCAAACATAAAAATACGTCTCTTCTTACATTCACAAAATACAGTTTAATTTAGAATGATGCAAAATTTTCTTTATGCATTTGTTGAGATTTTACAAAAAAAATTTTATATGAAATTAGATTACATTGTTAAGCAAGGGGAGGGGGAAGGATGGGTTATAAAAGATAGTTTCTCAAAGCATTGGGCTTCAATTTTACCGCTCTAACCAACTTATGCTTTTTTGTATACTTTGAAACTATAAAGCACTTGTTTTAGATAAAATTGTGACGTCATGTATAATTGGTACATTTCTCTGTTGCCACCTATTGTACTGGATAATCTATTTGAGATAAACATACGTCTACTGTAAATTAATTTTCAAAACTTTATGGTTATGACGTAATCTTAATGATAATGTAATCACATAATTAAGTATTTCACTTGCCAAACAGTGGCGTACATAGGGGGGCAGTAGTCCTCTATCCCCCCTGGAAAATACAAAATTAAAAGAGAACAAATTTAAAAAGTAACACCTGACAATGACAAAGACTAAGGATTTGTCTAAATTCACTGTTAACACACAATTTTAAGATATTTTAAACTAAAACTTTTGCAAAAACGAGACCTCGACATATTAGATGCTTATAACATGATGTAAGATGTAATACAGGTATTCTATTTTTCCATTTTTTCTTACAGTCAATTAATATTGGAATTGAGTCTTTGGCACAAACTCAAATATTCAAACCTTTGGAACCTGATGTTGTAAACCTTTGATATTTCATATTCAGAATATTTGATATACAGAATTCACTTGGTTCCAAAAATCAGAGTTTGTGGCAAGGACTTAATTCCTTTATTTCCATAAAGTATATATATTCCATTCTCTATGTATAAATATCATCCCTGCCATTCAACGCCATCGTTGCTCAAATAAATGTAATTATGCAACCTTTCTGAAAATGAAATCATTATATTTTAAGTATTCCACTTTTAATGTTTATTTGTCAAGTTTACATGTTCTAGTTTACTCCATATGTAAACTACCCCGAAAGGCCTGAAAAAAGTAAATAATGTTAAAACTGCTTTGTTTGAAGCAGGTAAGTACTAGTAAACTTATATAGTTTTACTGCTTTCAAGCCAATAGTGTTTTATTTCATACATTGCATCTATATTCTATATACCATATATATGTATATATCTGGTTTGTCTGTCAGTTCGTATTTTTGTTTGTTAGTGTCCAATAAACGTCAAAACGGCTGATTTGATCAGCCTCACTTACCGCAAAGAACGGCTGTTCAAAATAAAAATGCCCGAAAACTATTTCGATTTCTAATTTTTTAGAAATCCCCCAATAAGAATGAAAAGAGGAAAATCTACCAAATTTATTTTTGTAGTAAGTTCAAGATTTCTCACAAAATCTGTAATTGCATTTTTTTGGTAAAAATAGGTTCCTACCTACATGTTGTGACAGTATACAGTGAGAATCAGAAAACAGTGGAATAAATGTCGTCTTTGTTTTTTTATTTTGCTATGGAAATTACTGTACAAAAGAAATCCATTATATATTGGTTAGTTTTTTTATTCTAATAATTCAATATATTATTCTTTAGAGTAACCAAAATTGAAAATAATCAGCTTTTAAAATCATAAACATTGATATCCAATCATAGAGAATAGAATATATATTAGATGGGGAATTTAAAGAATCTCTCGGTATGATTTTTTTCAGTCCCTTTCAGCCTGAAAGGGAGTTCAAAGTGTACAAATCATGTAAATGTTCACAAATTATATGCAGTAGAGTACATTAATACAGTATGTTCCCTAGACTAAACATTTCAATTTCGAATTTTTTTTAAAGCTGTTAAATAAACTTTATAATGAATTAGGTGAATAAAAAACATCATTTGATTTATAGTTATAACGGAAAATCATCGTTTGTAAAGTGGAAGGCATAGAGTCTATGTGAAATGATCATTGGTCAATTATGAAACCAGCCTACTTCATAATTTGGTTTTCTTTATAACATTAATTTTAGATTTTCTATAAAATGATATTCCATAAATATGTGAAGTACATCTGCAGTATGGAAACAGTACAACAAAATGGCCGTTTTACACTTTTTTTCTAGTAAATTCCACTCTAATATATATTCTATTCTCTATTTATCCAATACATTCTTTATCAGACAATGCAAATAGTACTATATATAGTACAAGTACTAAAAGAATCTATTTGAGACAATGTAAATCGAACATTGCCATCTTTGCATGAGGTAAATTATTTTTGTAAAAATACTAGATGGAGAATATTAGATTTGAATATGGTAGCAAGAATATGTTTAAATTGATGCAGGCGGCTAGAATAAGGTTACAGGATACAAGATACCGATCTCAGACATGAAATATACATAGAAAATGTATCCTTGGATTGTAGACAGACGAACAGAAATGACANTACAACCAAATAGTTCTATTTATAGTACAACCAAATAGTTCTATTTGCAGTTCAACCAAATAGTTCTATTTGCATTACAACCAAATAGTTCTATTTACAGTACAACCAAATAGTTCTATTTACAGTACAACCAAATAGTTCTATTTATAGTACAACCAAATATTTATATTTATAGTACAACCAAATATTTCTATTTATAGTACAACCAAATATTTCTATTTGCAGTACAACCAAATAGTTCTATTTGCAGTACAACCAAATAGTTCTATTTACAGTACAACCAAATAGTTCTATTTGCAGTACAACCAAATATTTCTATTTATAGTACAACCAAATATTTCTATTTGCAGTACAACCAAATAGTTCTATTTGCAGTACAACCAAATAATTCTATTTGCAGTACAACCAAATATTTCTATTTATAGTACAACCAAATAGTTCTATTTGCAGTACAACCAAATAGTTCTATTTGCATTACAACCAAATAGTTCTATTTATAGTACAACCAAATATTTCTATTTATAGTACAACCAAATATTTCTATTTGCAGTACAACCAAATATTTCTATTTATAGTACAACCAAATAGTTCTATTTGCATTACAACCAAATAATTCTATTTATAGTACAACCAAATAGTTCTATTTGCAGTACAACCAAATAATTCTATTTATAGTACAACCAAATAGTTCTATTTGCATTACAACCAAATAGTTCTATTTGCAGTTCAACCAAATAGTTCTATTTACAGTACAACCAAATAGTTCTATTTGCATTACAACCAAATAGTTCTATTTGCAGTACAACCAAATAGTTCTATTTGCAGTACAACCAAATAGTTCTATTTGCAGTACAACCAAATAGTTCTATTTGCATTACAACCAAATAGTTCTATTTGCAGTACAACCAAATAGTTCTATTTACAGTACAACCAAATAGTTCTATTTGCAGTACAACCAAATAGTTCTATTTGCAGTGCAACCAAATAGTTCTATTTTTCTTCTCAATAGCTATCCATAAAAGTATAAGTATGTTAATCAAACATGATTTAATTTGACGCGATTTGTCTCAAATTTTACGACACAATTTTGTTTCTAATCATGTTTATCATTAAGAATGTAGAATTTAGAGAGGCGAACATCTATAACTTTGAACAAAAAAAACAGTTTAAAAACGTTCTGAAATCAAAATAAAATTGACTAAAAAATGAATATAGTTTAAGTGAAAAAATTCAACAATTAAAAATATATTGCTAATCATTTTAGAGGTGGTGAATATTAAAGGAACAGAGTTAAAGACATTTGTGTGAAATTGACTTTTCTGTTAAAGGTTTGAACTTGGGTATGCACGAAAATATTTTGGTCATTTCAAAGTTCTAAGCTTTTTTACTGACTTAGCTTAGCCCTATAGTCAAATAGGTGTTAAAGGGACTGTAAGCGTATATAATGTTTAAGTGACCCTCCATGCAAGGATGGCAATGCCCGATTTACAACGGTACTCTTTGTATTATCAATTAGATATCAATGTTTGTAATTTAGTAAACTGATTATCTGGTTTCTTTACTAAAGCGACTTGCGCATTTCTACTGCTGGAAATCATGTAGAAATGATGAGATTAGAAAACTTTTCAATATGAAAAACGACAATATTTTTAACATTATTGATCAGATAATGGTTTTAAGGGTACAGTTGTGAATCAGGCATTGCCATCTTTGGATGAAATTACGCCTAGAGTCCCTTTAAGGCCTATTTCGAACCTAAATTATTGGTCCTTTTTGACTGTGCGAAACGAATGGCGGAACCTGATATCAATAATCAAATCTTATTTATGAGTTTAATCTACTCCAATACAACTTTACGTACATGCACGGTAGTAATGCAGGGTTTACCATTGAGACTGAGCCTTTAATGACGCCCTTAAAGGGAGTGTCTGGCTAGACATGGTAGTTGAGCTGATAATGCAGTATTGTAGAGAAATTTGAACAAAGCAATTTACAAACGTCTTACAGTTCTCCAATGATTTAAAAAAAAATTTATCTACAATACTGCATTTTCAGCTCATTTACCATGTCTAGCCATACACTCCCTTTAAGCTAATTGATTAATACGAACTGAAAATTAAATTTGGGGTTTACCTTGATTATATAATTTATATAGTCTTCAAAAAAGCTTTTAAGTGAAATGAATACCCTGTAATGACGACCTATAACTCATATAATATGCAATGACCTAAAAATTGACATCGATGCACTCCAATCTACGGACATCATATTAGGTTTTTATCTTTCTATCTTTCCGTACATTTGAGTGCATTGAGAGTAACAAACGACTTATTATAAAACCTTGGTTTAAAGTGTTGTTAATGGGGTTGGTTCGTTTCTTAATCACTTTGCACACTTCATAACTGTATTAGGTTAAACTTTGCCCCTACATAACTGTATTGGGTTAAACTTTGCACACTTCATAACTGTATTTGGTTAAACATTGTACACTTCATAACTGTATTCGGTTAAACTTTGCACACTTCGTAACTGTATTCGGTTAAACTTTGCACACTTCATAACTATATTCGGCTAAACTTTGCACACTTCAAAAGTGTATTTGGTTAAACATTGTACACTTCATAACTGTATTTGGTTAAACTTTCCACACTTCATAACTGTATTCGGTTAAACTTTGTACACTTCATAACTGTATTCGGTTAAACTTTGCACACTTCATAACTGATTCGATTAAACTTTGTACACTTCATAACTGTATTGGGTTAAACTTTGCACACTTCATAACTGTATTCGGTTAAACTTTGCACACTTCATAATTGTATTCGGTTAAACTTTGAATTTCTTAAACTTTGCGAAAAAAAAACGAAAAAAAACGAATCAAAAACAAACCAAAAACGAACCTAAACGATTAACACCAGATGCAGGATTAACCACAAAGGCCGAGACTTTAATGACATCATAAAACTTAGAAATAAATAGAAAAACTTAGAATCATATCATAAAATCATTTGACAGCAGAAAAAAACAAATTTCCAATTACATGGAGCCAAAAAACGAAGATATCTTAAAGAATATTGATCAGAACGTCTAAAGGGTACAGTTTTTATTCTAATAATTTCTTAATGCGTAAGTAATTTGAATCAAAAACCATCGAATTTTTTCTAAGTGGTTTTATGGGAAAATTAGAGGCCGAAGTATATTTTGCTATTTATTTTCTTATTTTAAAAGTTAGCCATGGTAGGCTGTTAGATGGACTTCTGGTCGCAGCGCCCGGCCCCCTAGCCCATCCCAGCCACAGCGCCCGGCCCCCTAGCCCGTCCTAGCCGCAACGCTGGGCCCAGAAATTCTCTTAACCAAACCTAACACTCAAATACAAATAATCAGCTGTCGTAGGTCGGATGTGCAGTATAGCGGATGGGCAGTAGAGCGGATCAACATTACAATTTTTTTTTTAATCTTAAAAAGACAGAACGCTTCGAAATTTCAAGGCGAATACATACAGAGAAATTTGTTATACAGGGTTACCCACAAGGAATAAGACTGTAAAGACGACCTAAAACTCCTATGATATGACGATCCTATGGTCAATTTGAGTCTATTGCCTTATATATAGTCTGTTAATATGGTTTAATAAATGATTTGGAAAAAAATGATTTTACAGTTACAGAGAATTGTAAATATAAAGAATCAGAGAATTGTAAATATAAAGAATCAGAGAATTGTAAATATAAAGAATCAGAGAATTGTAAATATAAAGAATCAGTGAATTGTAAATATAAAATAATACAAAGNACTTTCAATTTTTTAATTTCTCTATCCTTTTTATCTCAATGTGTCACTCTTCTAATCTCTCTCTTAATTTTGCTGCTATAGAATAAATTTAGATATAAAAACAAAAAAGCATTTTATTGAATTGCATAGATTAATATTTGCTAAAAAACTTAACATCAAAATGAGCCAGAATTATTTGCAGTAACAAATTTACAATTTAATACAATGTGACCCCATCAAGGATTCACAACTGTACACCAAGAGAATATGTTATGGCAAGGGGTTAAAAAAACGGGTTGTTATTAACTGGAACACTTTTAGAAAATACTTTCATAAAAGAAGTATTAGACAATCTTCTATTTAAAGAAGATTCAAGAACACGTTCTTATCTTCTAGATAAAAGCTTAACATTTTGTTATTCATTGTCAGGGGTATCTCACTAATTTTTGTATAGCCCTAGAGGTACGATATTTTGAACAAAATGTTCGTAATTTCAAACGATATGTTCACAATTTCTAACAATATGTTCGAAATTTTGAATAAAATATTAATAATTTCGAACAAAATTTTTATAATTTAAAACAAAATTTTTGTAATTTAGAACAAAAAGGGTTCGAAATTTCTAAAATTTTTTTCATAATTTCTAAGTATTACCGATTAATGATACAAACAAAATGTTAGGTTTTTTTCTACTATTGTAGATCCTTGATGGCACTCTTATATTAGATGATTACCTAGTTAACTATCCCATTGAAGCTATTTTTCTACAAATAATTAGTTTAAGTTAAAAACAACAAAATCCAATAAAAAATGATGCAAGAGAAAGGAAAAGGTAGGAATAAAGACAGTAAAACATAATCAGAACAGGAGAACATCACTAATTAAAGAACAGGCTGAATCAGAAGTTAAAGAAACAGCGTGAAAATTCTCAGTAAAATTGCAAAAAAGTCAGAACAAGAGAAAATCACAAAAAAATCAGAAGTTGAAAAAAAGTCTGAAACAAGGTGAAATTTCTGTTCAAGCTGAGTCCAGGGCAGCATCAAGGGAAGGCAGAATACGGAGCTCTAATCCCTCACTGCAAAAAATATATTTTAAAAAAGATTTTGATTAAGAATATTTTTTTACTTGTGAATCAAATTAAAATTTTTAATATTTTAATGGTTTTGCAAACTTAAAATTTTTTTTCGGAACATTTAATTTGCCAAATTGCCAAATTTTTACTTTTAAGATAAATTTTTTGCGTAGTTTCATAAAAGCAAACTTTGCAGTTGTTAAATTTTTTATTATTTCTAGGTGTTCTGATTAACTGTATTGCATTAATTTTCAAATTATGAATTATGAAAGGTTTGGTGGAAGAAATAAGTAAAAAAAAATAAAATTTACAAGGCCAGATGATCCAGGGTGTCCCAATAAACATGGGAATTGAGTGACGAATACAAAATAGCCTTTGCTAAGAAGTAGAAGTGTAATTAATACCCGATTGAAAAATCAAAAGTCGTAAAATATTTATGTCTGCTAGAGTTTGTTTTATGAAATGTAATGATGTGAATATATTGTTTCTGGAAGATGAACAATATAGACAGTACAAGATGAACAGTACAGACGGACAAATTTAAATGTTTTCATACACAGATTTTCTTGTTTTACAGTTTACTGCAGGCAACCGTATGCAAAAAAAACAAAAACAAAAAAATTCCATACTCTACTATTCATACGAAAATCTTGTTAGATGTACGTATTATTCAGTATTCTAAATCAGAAATCATTTACAAAGACAATCTCAAAATCGATGCTAAATTCACATGTTTTTTTGGGACACACTGTACCTTGATAAATGAATATTAATGAACAGGATGATTAAAGGAATCAATGAATGAATAGTCAAATAAAGGAATTAACATGCAACAGGATGAATAAGTAAAAAATGGCTTTATAATCAAACGAACGAATGGGTGAATGAATGAATGAATGAATGAATGAAAGGATGAATGAATAAATGAATGGACCTGATGAATGAATCCCTAATCTCCTGAAGTTTAGCAGGGGAGCAGACTACCGCAGTCCAGGATGAAGGAGTAAAGAGCGGAGCAATATACCTAGATAGGTTATACAGTACATAAGTGGAGGTTATACAGAACCTAGGTGTACACAAGGTTGTAATGCAAGGAAATTTAATTGCAGTTGCGTATACTCTGCGTTCATATTGAAGCCAGTTCTCTCTGGGCGGAATTTGAAAACAAGATTAGATGCATCAGTGTACGTTTAGTATCCGAGGAGGTTATAAGCATTAAATTTTGATAATTTTGATAATTCACATAATAGTTTCCTATGACCAGAATATTTCATTGATTTTTTATGTGAAAGATGGATCCCATGTCAGGCCTTGACATCCGTCTTGTGTTTACATTACCGCCCAGAGACAGCACACTGAAGTACAAAAAATGCGTACACATCTGAAATAACTTTCCTTGCATTACAACCTTGAGTGTACACAGTTGAGGTTTTACAGTACATAATTGTACACAGTAGAGGTTATACAGAACTTAGGTGTATACGGTGCAGGTTATAAAGTACATAGATGTACACAGTGCAGGTTATGCAGTACATAGATGTACACAGTGCAGGTTATACAGTACATTGTGTAGATTTTGATTTAAAAGATTCAAAATTGGAGAATATAAACAAACTGAAAAAAAATATTTCATTACAAAAATATTGATATTCACAAAACTGCCTTTACCCCATTCGTGAAACCCAGATTTTAAAACTGGTTTTCATCACGATACCCTGTCTTCAGTGTTGGGGTCTGTTCATAGCCTGCGTACACAGTGCAGATTATGCAGTATGTAGATGTACACAATGCAGGTTATACAGTACATAAGTGTACAAAGTGGAGATTATACAGTTCATAGCCATGTGTACACAGTGCAGGTTATTTAGTATGTAGGTGTACACAGTGCAGGTTATTTAGTATGTAGGTGTACACAGTGCAGGTTATACAAAACATAAGTGTACAAAGTGAAGTTTATACAGTTCATAGCCATGTGTACACAGTGCAGGTTATTCAGTATGTAGGTGTACACAGTGCAGGTTATTCAGTATGTAGGTGTACACAGTGTAGGTTATTCAGTATGTAGGTGTACACAGTGCAGGTTATACAGTACATAAGTGTACACAGTGCAGGTTAGACAGTACATATGTATATAGAAAGGAAGTTATACACTGTACAGTATAAAGGTATACAGTGTACACTGAATGGATTAAAATGTTGAAGTCCCGGACCTTTGACATGCACAGGGGTAAAAATAAATTCTTACTTGTTTCCAACCCTCTTCAGATCTTCAACACTAACATTGTTGATTCTTCGAAGAAACTCCCTGAAAATAATCAATCAATCAAGGACCTTCTTTCTGCTCAGACGCAAAATAGTGAAAATTAGTGAAAAAATAGTTAGAGGTTTAGAGTATATTGTTGTGAATTGTTTATGGCACATCTTAGTGACCTTTACAATAGATTTAAGGGTCACATAACAAATCTTTAAAAACCTATTTTAGTTGTTACTTATTATACTCCATATCTACTCCCTCTAATTGTTACTTATTATACTCCCTATCTACTCCCTCTGATTGTTTACATGTTATACTCCCTATCTACTTCCTCTAATTTTTTACCTATTATACTCCCTATCTACTCCCTCTAATTGTTTACATGTTATACTATCTACTCCCTCTAATTGCTTACTTATTATACTCCCTATCTACTCCCTTTAATTGTTAACATGTTATACTCCCTATCTACTCCCTCTAATTGTTACCTATTATACTCCCTATCTATGCCCTCTAATTATTTACCTATTATACTCCCTATCTACTCCCTCTAATTGTTTACATGTTATACTATCTACTCCCTCTAATTGCTTATCTAATTGCTTCCCTATCTATTCCCTTTTTTGTTTATCTATTATGCTCCCTATCTACTCCCTCTATTTGTTTACCTATTATACTCCCTATCTACTCCCTCTATTTGTTTACCTATTATACTCCCTATCTACTCCCTCTAATTGTTTACTTATTATACTCCCTATCTACTCCCTTTAATTGTTTACATGTTATACTCCCTATCTACTCCCTCTAATTGCTTACTTATTATACTCCCTATCTACTCCCTTTAATTGTTAACATGTTATACTCCCTATCTACTCCCTCTAATTGTTTACATGTTATACTCCCTATCTACTCCCTCTAATTGTTACCTATTATACTCCCTATCTACTCCCTTTAATTGTTTACCTATTATACTCCGTATCTACTCCCTCTTATTGTTTACTTATTATACTCCCTATCTACTCCCTCTAATTGTTTACCTATTATACTCCCTATCTACTCCCTTGAAAGAAGAGATGAGACTCTCACCAACAACTTCTCCGATAGTTTTCTCCTTCAAATAAATAAAATCAAATCCAGGGGATTAACTTTTAAATTGATGTTTAACTCCATAAATACGGTCCCTTGTCCATTTGTTTGATGTTTAGGTTTCTTGTAACTGGAAACTCACCCTCCCCTTTTATGAAACCCAAAAAATCAACTCCTTTCCCCTAAAAAGCATTACCCCCACACCCCCAAAAGAACTAAGCGTAATGGAATACCTATCCCTGGGAACCCTTTTATACATTACCTTCTCTATAAGCTCGAAAATGAGACTGGACTTAGCGGCCTCCAGAAGGGTCAGGTTAAACTCCTCATCTCCGCTCACATAACTCATCTGAAAGGGGTCGTGGCGTGTCAAACATATACTTTTGTAAATTGTATATTAAGCAAGTTGCCTTTAAGATAAGTTCTAATTGCAAATTGTAGGAAATTATCTGTCAAAGTTTATCAAGTTGTCCATCTATTCAAATTGTATCTTTAGAAAATTATCTGTTTAATGAGTTGTCTCTTGGTATGATGGTTAAATTGTTTCTTTGAATAGCTGTGCATTAGTAGAGATGACTTTTCCATAAATTGTTTTTCTTTTGGAAAATTGTCCTTAAGAAAAATAGTCTTTTTGAAAAATAGTCTTATTTAGAAATTTGTCTCTTAAAAAATAAACTTACCGCAATCCTACGGGCCTCTGTGTACGCTTTAACCGGGTGTGTTGCCCTGTACAAGGTTATGTACAGTAGACCCTTACTAACAACAGGGTACATGTTGTACCCATAGGCTAATCCCTGACCTCTTATCTGTCGCCACATTGGACCCTGCAATAAAAATTTATTTTCAAATAGATAAACAAAGAAATCTTGATCATTATTGTTCTGACATAAATACTATAACCCTGCAATAACAATAACCATCAGAAAGGGACTGTACACGTAATTTCAAATCACCCCCATTTACAGAGTTGCACGTCCGATTTATAAATCTTCACCTGAGCAACATTGAGGAAGATGTTTTCGATTTTTGGACAAAGAAAAAAGGAAATCTTTTGACAAAGTTTTAAAGGGTGCTATTGTGAATTGCGCATGGCCCCCCTTTTTTTTTGGGGGGGGGGGGGTTCACTTAAAATCACTCTGATATTTCCTTCAATAATTAATCATCTGATAAAAAAGTTTACTTCAATGTTAGAGTTAATAATTTTATTATCAAAATTAAAACTGTTAAACTCATTCAATCTAATATCATGTTTATTTCTGTAAATGCCCTCTAAATGCTTGCAACAATACTCCCCCAACATTTTCTACGTTCTATAATAATACCAATAATCACTGTCAACTTTCAATTCTAGAGTATCCAGCTTGAGCTGACATCCTTTTAAGTTTCAAATGCTGTAATTTTAAGAAATGTCCTATACTAAATTTTGAATGAATGCATTCTCTACTTACGTTCTTAATTCACTATCTTAATTCACTATTACTATTTCCAGGGTGGCCAAAACTTTTTTGAACAAATCCGTACAAAAATCCGTACATTTTCAGTAGAAATCCGTACAATCCGTACAATTTTCGAAAAAAAATCCGTACAATCCGTACAATTTTTTGAAAAAAATCCGTACAATCCGTACATTTTTTTAAACCAATCCGTACATTTTTTTAAAAATCCGTACATTTTTTAAAAAAATCTGTACAATCAGTACANTATACATTTTACAAATATTTAAGTTTTCTTGTCTATTTATCAATGTTTATAAATATTTATTAAAATAAATATTAATTTGTATGTTTGTTTGCTTGCATGTTGAATCAGAACTCATGAACTACGGAAATGTTATTAGCTTGGTTTTAAAGTTCTAAGTTAAGTGGTTGGACATTTCCAGACAAAGCTGGGTTACAAAGCTAAGGTTCTATAATAATGTTCTTTCAAAAAATGTTCTCAAACTTACTGTACATACTATGGATCTGTGAGTCTGTAATTGTTCTCTATTAAAATTCCAAACTAATGTTCTGTACTAAATTCAATTATAACATTTATTACTAACATTTTCTAAAGATACTTTCTGCACTATTTTCCAACATTTTTTACCAACGTTCCCTTTTGAAAAAACAGTTGTGCAGTATGCGCTCGCATTTCTATTACCAGAAAAATGGAGCCCTAACAAAATTAAAACCGTATGAAAATATTTTTTTCTAAAAATGATCTTTTATCATATTTTAACATAATTCAAGGTAATTTTACACATTTTCAACGTATTTTTACATTGAGTGGTTTGCTGGGAATTACCTCACACTGAGTTAGATACTGAAGGAAGAGTCGAAGTGCGGGTAAATCATTATCCTTAGCTGAGGTAATACACGGAACACTTCTATTTTTTTAAGAAAAATAAAATTTTTTAATTAATATTTATCAAAATAAATCTGATGTAATTCTTGATTTACATAAAAAAACATGAAATGTTGTTTTTGATCTTTGAAATGATAAAAGATAACGTTTCTTACATTTCATTTTCTAATTTGAAGCCATTTATTTGATTGGAGTAACTTTACTAACCTCGCCATGAAGGATGATTCGCAGGCCCCTAGGGCAACTATTACATGATCCTTTTCTGCAGTACACAAGGTGTACTCTGGTACAATGTTACACCCACTGGAAATTAGTAAGATTGTAAACTGTGTAAAACTACGCGGTATGATTATGTATGCCTCTATGCCTTCTCTAGGCCTCTGTGTAGTAAATACAAAACAAATTTGTTTTGCAAAAAATTACTCAAGTAACATCTTTATCTTCTTAAATGTTGATGAAAGCAACACCATTGTAACTTGACCTAATGTGCAGTTATTGGGTTTTGCGCCAATACGCAGAACTGACAAAATCGATCCACTAGACACAGTGAACTCAGGTGCTGTCTAATATGCATTGGAAAATTAAAAAAAACTCTTCTTCATCAATGCTACAACCACTGACAGATCATTTTCTCACCCCTCCCCCCTTAAAAATTCTTTTTTTTTTTTAAACCAATGACATTATAACTGCAAACAAGGACGAATACAAAAGAAAAGACGTTAATCAGTTTAGTTTGTTAGTTTGGAAAACAAAGATTTTTAACAGCAAACAGGATCAAAAGAGGTGTTTATATTCTTGCATTTTATCATCCTCCCAAAACTTATCCTTGCTTGTTCATATTGATTATCTACCTATTATTGATTTCAAGACCCTTTCTGGGTTTTCTCTTGGGGAATATAATGTTGGAGTATGGGGGATAGGAATAGCAAGAATACAAACCCCTTCAATTTAACCTCTGACTTTGCCACCACATCACACCAAACCATAACAGCGGGAAGATCAGGACTCAAATAATCCAAATCCAAGATGCATGATTTTTCTAACCAATCAGCAATACCATTTTAGGATATTCTCAAAATTCAGGGGGGGTTTTCAACTGTGGATTCAGTCATAGCAGATCATCTCTCCTTCATTTACTTTTTGAGTAACATATGTGTACTAAGATGTTAATTTTCTTTCATCCTCCCTCACCCCGCCCTTGTTGTATTTCTTGATTGCCTAGATAAGTCAGGTCAGTTGACGACTGTGCTAATATTATGGAAGAGTACTTAGATTTTGGAGATGGTGTTTCTTCAATGGTTTCTGGTCTACAATTAGAATCAGATCTATGAGGGAGTTCAGTGAGCCAATAAGGATTTAAAGTACTCACACATGAGACAAACAGTCATCAGGAGAATGCACTTGGATTAGAAATTATACTTTGCATGTTTTCAAATATGGGAAAAAAGTTTTGAAATTATTACATGCAATCACAAAAGTTAGATTTTTACATTCTTGGAAAATGATAATTTGATTTAAGAAATAATGAATAAATTTGATGGTGTTCCCTGAATTAAATTAGAATGATTTAATTTCTCATTGATTCAGTTTTCTTTTTATTCTTACCTTGCAGGGTTTGAGGTGTGTCCAGTAGGTAGAAGTTTTGACCATGGTTTCTCAGCATTACCTTAAAAAATTACAACTATTTTAAAAATATAATAAATTATGGACTTTTATGCCTAATTCAAAATAAATCTAAAAGCATATGCATGGAACAACCCCAGCATCCTGTAGATTTAAACAACTGTTATTTATTGTACTGTTCCCAATTCACTCTCATTGAATTGGTTGTATGTACAATGTAAATTGTAATGTGCACAATAAACTCTGATCTGAGATTCTTACGCTAGTAAAAAAAGGACAAAATTTTAAAAATCTTGATGAAAAACTGAGTATAACTGGATAATAACCACACCCTTTTACGTTTATTTCACCTTGAGAGCGGATGTTATCTAAATCTGCAGCCATATGGACCATCATATTGGAGGGCTTGGTTAGACTCTGCCTAATATTCTCTAATCGTTCAACAACCTTAAACATGGTTTTATAAATTCTAGAGCAAAAACTAATCAAAAATGTTCTCTTTTAGCTCCCTCTTTCTTTTGACTTAGCATATCTCCACAGAATTCCAAATAACATTTAGTTTTCCGGATTACATTCCCAACTTTTCCTAATCTTTCCACACACCATCTTGACCCTTCCTACCCTTTCTTTACCTTCAACCTATTTCCTTCTTCCGATTCCCCTTGGCTTACATCTTAGATGAAGGATAAAGAAATTATATAATTCACTTATATTCGAACAACCTTACAAGATTGCTAATGTTATGACAAATTGACTTGGTACAGAAATATGAATACTCTCTTACAAGATTGCTAATGTTATGACAAATTGACTTGGTACAGAAATATGAATACTCTCTTACAAGATTGCTATTGTATGACAAATTGACTTGGTACAGATATATGAATACTCTCTTACAAGATTGCTAATGTTATGACAAATTGACTTGGTACAGAAATATGAATACTCTCTTACAAGATTGCTATTGTATGACAAATTGACTTGGTACAGAAATATGAATACTCTCTTACAAGATTGCTAATGTTATGACAAATTGACTTGGTACAGAAATATGAATACTCTCTTACAAGATTGCTAATGTTATGATTAATTGACTTGGTACAGAAATATGAATACTCTCTTACAAGATTGCTAATGTTATGACAAATTGACTTGGTACAGAAATATGAATACTCTCTTACAAGATTGCTATTGTATGACAAATTGACTTGGTACAGAAATATGAATACTCTCTTACAAGATTGCTTTTGTATGACAAATTGACTTGGTACAGAAATATGAATACCCTCTTACAAGATTGCTAATGTTATGACAAATTGACTTGGTACAGAAATATGAATACTCTCTTACCTTTTCAGGCGTACTGTCCAGCTTCTTTAGTACATCCTAGAATAAATAGATAATTGAATATATTTTTATTGAAATTACAACAATATATTTTCTATAATAAGAGCTATATAGAGTATAGACAAACCCTTTGATTTGCCACTTTTAGGTTCAAGTGTTAAAAGGTTCTGTAGCAAAAACATAACCAATCGGAAATATAATTGAACTAATAGGACCTTAAGAAATGTTTGTTGCTGAAGGATGCTTGCGTTGTAGATGTTACTGCTCTCATGGAACATCAGGCTGTTCAGCAAGATGTTCACAACCTGATCATTTAATCAATCAATCAATCAATTAGCTCGTCAATCATTAACTAATGAATCAAACAAAGTTTCTTAAAACATTCTATTAGCTTTTTCGTTAATCATTTATTTGTTAATTAATTAATTTGTGTTTGTTTATTTCAATATTCTATCATCCACCATTTCTCTATTCATAAACATTTTATCATCTTATTTTTATTCTTATTCATCAATTAAATAATTAATTAATGCATTCATTGATTCATTTATTTATCCATCCTTACTTCCTTTCCTTTCATTCTTCCCTTTCATCTATTCATTCATTAGTTTATCAATACATGATTCCATTTATTAGATCATTCATTTATTCATTAATCCATTCATTCTGTAAATCATTCATACACCCTTTAATTAATTGATTAATTAATTACTTCATTTATTAAATCTTTTATTCTTGAAACCCCATGATATGATTAATTGTCGTATCGTATAAGTGGCTGTATTTACCAAATTGGAGAACCACGGATAAGTGAGTAAGTAATTTTTAATTCATGCAACTGAACTTACCCTGCTTCCTTGTCTTTTTAGCTCTGAGATACTGTTATCCATCTTAGTTGCAACAACCCTAGATTAATCTTCTTTTTAGTTGCAACAGCCATAGATTATTTTTCTTATTAGTTGCAACAACCATAGATTATTTTTCATATTAGTTGCAGCAACAATTAGTTTTTTCTCTTATTAATTGCAAAAACCCTATATTATTTTTCTTATTAGTTGCAACAACCATAGATTATTTTCCTTATTAGTTGCAACAACCCTAAGTTAATTTTTTTTTAATATTTGCAACAAACATACATTATTTTTCAAATTAGTTGCAACAATCCTTAATTTATTTTCCTTGCAACAACCCTAGATAATTTTTCTTATTAATTTCAACAACCTTGGTTAAATTTCTTATTAGTTGCAACAACCCTAATTTATTTTTCTTATTAGTTGCTACAACCCTAAATAATTTTTCTTCTAAGGAATGTCGATCTAATTCTTACACCCCCCCCACCCCCCATAGAAATTAAAATTGTGATTAATATGTTTATTTATGTTTTATTTTTTTGTTAAAGGGAGTGACCAGCTATGTAAGGTAGTTGAACTGAGTATGCCGTGTTGTGAAAAACTTCTTTCGGATTCATTTAAGACATATTAAACTTTTTAAGATCTGTAAATTCTGAGTTTGATCTCAAATTCGACGTTCAAAACTTCTACTTTGGGGGTGGATACTTTTTCAGAATTTGTTTTTTTAGTTATTAAATAACGACAACGAAAAATAAAGTAAAAACTATACAGTAATCTAATTAGATGGTTAGGAACATATTTCTCACAAGAAATTTGTAAATAAATCAATCCTAAAATTAACTATTTCGTTTTCATAATTATATTGAATTTCTTATCTTCTTTGAATTTATTCGCAGATTTCTTCAAATTCTTCAAATGTCGTCTTTTTAATAATAATTCTAGAAAATCTGCGAAAATCTTTGTGAATATTGAGAAACTAGAATAATGAGAAAATAGAAACTAATAATTGAACAAGATTACTTATTTTCGATGATAAGATTAATTTTTATTTTCTCAACATGTTCCTATACATGACGTCTGTAGTTTATTGTAGAACTTTTTTACATTTTATGTCGTCGTTATTTAATAATTTAAAAAAACTAATTCTGAAAACGTATCCACCCCCAAAGTAGGAGTTTTGAACGTCGAATTTGCGCTCAAACTCAAGATTTACAGATCTTTAAAAAGTTTGATATGTCTCAAATGAATCCGAAAGAAGTTTTCCACAACACTGCATACTCAGTTCAACTACCTTACATAGCCGGTCACTCCCTTTAAGAGGGGGCTCTTGTTCGCTGAGCCCCCTGGTATTAAGAATGTTAGAATAACTCGAGTAAATATTTTTTGTAAATTATGTAACCAAAAAATAAACTTATTATTGATTATATTATTATTTAGCTTTGCTATTAAATTCAATATTCAAATTTTCTTGTCTCAACTTGTCTCTACAAAACGAGAAGAAAACAATAAAATATAAGTTCACCTAATTCTGTCTGGTGTCAGCTTCGTACAAAACAGGATTTTTCTAATCCATTCAACTGCCTTCAATAAAATGTTTGCTAAAAAATGATTAAATTTTCTCTGAAAGTTTGAATTTAGAAAACTTTTTTTCTTCTAAATTTAATTCTTTTTTTGAACAACAGGTCTTTTCCCTAACGAGATTGTAAGTATAATTTTGAGGGACGCTCCATGCTCAGATTGAAAGCTAGATTTGATAGAAGATAAATTAAACTTTCAGTCCCTTTAAAATGGTAGCTCAGTAGAAGATAAATTAAACTTACAGTCCCTTTAAAATTATAGTTTAGTAGTAGACAAATTAAACTTACAGTCCCTTTAAAATGGTGGCTCAGTAGAAGATAAACTAAACTTACAGTCCCTTTCAAATGGTAGCTCAGTAGATACAGTCCCTTTAAAATGGTGGCTCAGTAGAAGATAAACTAAACTTACAGTCCCTTTCAAATGGTAGCTCAGTAGAATGTTTGAAGACTACAATTTAAAAAAAAGTCAGGACACGATACTAGTTCGTCACATGATTTTATTAGATTTCTAGCGGAATTAAAGATCTATGCGCGCAAATTTGGAAAAATTGGTAAAAATATCGCAAAATGCTTTATCCAACACATAAAAGGATGTTGTAACTTGTAAACGTAAAAACTACATTTTCTCCCTTTAAAGCAATTCAACGACTGTAAAAGTATTTTCAAGTATCTCTCAATTCAACGAGTGGCATGTTCTATTCGTAACAAAAGTTCTTGTCAAACATTTATTGTTTAATATTTCCAATTGCTGTATCTCTATGAAGTGACTGGCACATTTCTACTCCAGAATAATATGGAGGAATTGATCAGAATTGAACACTTTCCAAGCTAGAAAAACAAAGATATTATCCACATCATTGATCAGAGCTGGGAACTTTAGATACCATTAATCCCGACTGCTTAATCCGAATATCCAATGTAGACACTTTTGATTTCTCGCTTAATCCACTCTTTTTTGGATATAGTAGAGAAAAATCAAAACCCGTTTTTTTAAATTAAGAATCCCTCCCGTTTCTGTACATTAATCTTAAATGGCGCGCAAAATTTCTAATTTACCGGCTTATAATACGCGACTCTAATTGGTTGAATTTTATACACTTTTGAGGATTCAAGAACAAGATTAAGTTTGTCTCGAGATTAAGAAAAAGAGAGGATTCAGCATTAATCTCGATATCCAACATTCTAAAGTTCCCAGCTCAGGTAAAGGTATAAAAGGCACCGTTGTGAAGATTGTGAATTGGACATTAAATTGAAGGTCACGTGAATTTACAAATTACAACGACAGTCCGTTTAAGTCCAACCTTGTTATATTTCTGAGGTTGAGTTTGTAGATAGAGACAAACAGATTGAGAGAAGGCCCCGGGAAGAAATCTACTGCCTGAAAATCGTCCTTGATATACGCAGCATTCATAAGTGAATAAAGTTTTTCTACAGTGGTCGGAGTTTATATCATTACATTAAAGGCGATTTTTCTAATTTAGTTTTGATTTAGAACAAGCTTTTTTCAAATAACAAGTTTTCCTGTTAACAAAAAGGTCTTAATTGACATTTTCGCTTTGTTTCCATGTTAACATGTATCCATGCTGTTTAAAAGTTTGGTAGAAAGTTGTATTCATTGTATTGATATATACGATAACGACAGTATGATTACACACTTGCCATTATAAAACATATTATCTAAATTTTTGAATACCTACAGTGAAAGCCTTAATAACAAATACATCGAAAGAATTCATCAAATGTCGTATTCTTCACTTTCTGATAATGGAATGTTGCAGATATTTAGTATTTTAATTAAATGATTATATGGAACTCTTTAAAACTGTTCCTGCATGTTCATGGCTATTTATTTATTTTCGCAAATAATAAAATTTACGTAATTTAGTATAAAACTCATTGAAAAATTGTCAAGACGACATTTGATAAATTCTTCCGATGTTTAGCGCATTAAGGGTTTCACTGTATGATTAATCTACTTAAAACCTGATTTACTAACAAATTAATAGTAACTAAAGAGACTATATTGACTTTGATTTTTGTTAAAATCTATCAAAAATCAGACCTGTGAGGCTGTGAAAATTGTCTGAATTTTCTTTATCGATAGTTTTTAAGAAACTTACTTTACTAAAACATGGCTTTGATGACGCTTCGCGCCCATCTTTTATTTCAACTTTAAATTGTTGCTCTATCCTTAAACAATTTTATGAACTACGACCCGAGAGAAATAAATTGTCTGATAGTGTATGATAATTTAAATCAACAAGCGCGTAATGAACAGTTTGAAAATTCAAAAGTTTTGAGCTCTGTCCTCCCTACCTGAGACTCCAATGCTAGCTGTAGAGGTCAGGAACTGTTCCTCTAGAGCTGCAACAACCTCCTCGTGGGTCAACTTGTCCTCCCCGTCCTCCACACTAGACTCCAGCAGGAGTTCAAGCAGCAGGGGCAGATACATCTAGATTACATAAGTATTATTATAGATTTTATTCACATAATTGTGGGAAAAATACCTATGAATTGTTGGGTAAAAAATTAAAATATAAAAAATCAATTAACTCTAAATAATAACTAATTCCATTGATATATTTATCAATTCATCAACCATCCCCATTCCCCAATCAAAGATGTTTTAAATCACGCACCTCTGCAATGTACAACGGCTACCCGTGAAAAACTAAAAAATAAAAATAAAGAATATTAACCTTGAGTTCTGCTGGAATATCCTGGGTGCCCAGTACAGTGAAGATGTAAACAAAGTTAGAAGAAACCTAAACAATAAACATTTTAATTCTTGTTAAAGGGTAAGTCGGGAAATGTATGGTTAGTTGAACTAAGAATGTAGTATTGTAGAGTAATTCTTGAGGATTTAATTGAGACCTATCAGACGTTTTTAAGGTATATATTTGTTCAGCAAGAGCGCAAATTCAATCTTTAAAATACTTATTCAATCTTTAAAATACTTATTCAATCTTCAAAATACTTATATATTGTGCATTTTGGAGGGATGATTCTGAGAATAGTTTTTTTTGATTATTCAATGACGGCGACGGATAATGTTGTTTAGGAACAGACTGGGAAAATAGAAATTAACTATAAGTATAAAAAATATGTAGTTATTATGTTTCTGTAATGTCTCAATGTTCACAAACATTTTCTGTAGATATCTTTAGACGACATTTGAAGAATTTCAAGAAATCTGCGAACAAATTTGTAAAGAATAAGAAAAATATATTATGTTCAGATGTTTATGGGACAGAAACAAATAGACCCAACAGACAAGTGAAATATATTATGTTTACAAGTGAAATATATTATGTTTATATGTTTATAGGTGAGAAACAAATAGACCCAACAGACAAGTGAAATATATTATGTTTATATGTTTATAGGTGAGAAACAAATAGACCCAACAGACAAGAGAAATATATTATGTTCAGATGTTTATAGGACAGAACCAAATAGACCCAACAGACAAGTGAAACATATTATGTTTAGATGTTTATAGGACAGAAACAAATAGACCCATGAGACAAGAGAAATATATTATGTTTATATGCTTAAAATCGTCTGAATATCTGTCAATCAATTCGGTGCCTCTCTGATTATAATGACTATACCTGATCGAACTGAAAGTATACTGGCATTTTGGTGAGGTCAAATCCTTCCATCTGCTCAGCTGACCGGCTTGTATAGCTGCTCACAGGATGGAACTAAACAGATACATACTTCATTCATTTATCATTTTTTTTAAATCCTTTTTACCCAAAACTTCATTCCCCCCTCCCCTTAATTATCATTGAGCGGATATACATTAAAAATATATATTTGCAAGTTTGTCAAAATAATGATTTTAAAAAGAAAAATGTTACAAGAAAATACATAGTCCTGAATTTTTCTCTTTTCTTCAGATTTTTTAAAAATATCTTATTTTATTTTGATTTGTTCTACTATAGGTTCCCAATTGAATAGTTTCCTTTTGCTACAATTTTCCATTTTATAATTCCACCCTACTCTTTTATTTATTAGTTTCGTTGTGTTGTGTCCTGTTGTGTTTGTTTCCGACTCCAGATTGAAATTAGCACTTAAAGGGGCTGTAAAGGAAAAATGAAAGGGGGTATAGGCTGAAAGCTAATCACTTTAGCTCTTGATCGCGACCCATGAAAGTCATATCTGATGTTCCTATCTCGAGAAATTGATATACAACTTTGTAAAATTTATACGAAAATTGATATATATACAATTTTGTATAAAAGTAGTAGGTTTAAAAAGATCAAATTCAGCAAATAAGCAACCAATCTGAAAACGATGATTTCCCAGAGAAAGCTAATTGTAAATTAGGTTTACTTTTATATTTGTTTTTTCTATTTTTAATAGATTTCATTCATAATATTATTTATACGTCCGTATTGCTTGACCAGAAATTCCACCAATGGCAGTGCAGTAAGTAAAGTGGTCACGTGATACAGGCGGAGACACATGATCAGTATACTGCTCTGCCATTGGTGATAGTTCTGGTCACGTGATTTAAGTTTAAGATTTTCTCAATTTTACATATATGAACTTTCGTATAATTTGAACACAGTTTTATATCAATTTCTCGAGACAGGAACATCAGATAAAACTTTCATGGGTCGCGATCAAGAGCTAAAGTGATTAGCTTTCAGCCTATACCCCCTTTTATTTTTCCTTTACAGTCCCTTTAACACTGAAACAAGTTAAATTATTTGTTTAAACTAACCTGGATAGAATCAGATGAGGGTATAGGTATAGATCTGAAAAATGTTAATATTCTACTTATTTAAAAAAAAAAAACATACAGTCAATTATAAATTCAGAATTTTAAGAAATGGAAGGGGGAAAGACTAAGACCAGATATGGGAATAATTTGTCTAGGGGAGAGGGGGCTTTAATTTCATTCTTTTTAATTACTTTCGAGGGACTCATCCTGTTGGGGACTGAACGCTCCCTGGGAACCAAAGTTTTAACTCTAACAGGGGAAGGGGCAGACCCAATGGCCCCAATATGAATGCCTGGGCAGTAGGAAGGAGGAAATGGTTCATGAAATAAAAACTTGAGACCCCATTCTTTTTTTTACCTCTTTTAAATACTTTCACCCTCAAATATGATTTTCAAGTCAGTTCAAAATACTTTTGAGAGCAAGTGAGAATTTGAAGGGGCGAGGGGTGAGGGAAGGGGTTAGAATTCTTTTATCAAAATATATACCCCTCCATAAATCCTGAACTCTGACCTGAGAACATGTTCAGGAGCCTCCTTTTCATTCTCCTCCATAGCGTCATTCAACTCCTTCTCCTTCAACTTCAAACCAGACTCTCCTGATTAATGAATGAGTGAATGAATGAACGAATGAAAGGATGAATGGATGGATGAATGAATGACTAGGTGAAAAGGTAAATAGGTGAATGAATGAATTAATGAATGCCTATATGAACAAAATAACTCTACCATCTCTCGGGGTTAAAGCTGACGCAGTCTGTATTAAAAATTCATGGAAGAATGAATGATTGAATGAATGCATGCATGAAGAAAAATAAATTAATGAATGAGTGAGTGAATGAAAGGAAAAGGACGAATGAATGAATAAATGAATAAATCAACCAATGAACAAATGAACCAATAGATTGATCACAATGTAACTTCTGAAAAAAACTTTGTGGCATTCATTGAAATATGCGCAACTACGAAATCTAATTCTAATTAATAGGCGAAAGCCCCAAAATTTACAAAATATACACTTAGTATCACAATTTATTAGTATTAGAAAATGATCATGAAAGATCCCCAACGTGAAATCCCCAGACCGCCATCCGAGTAAGGGTCTCAGTCAGGTATAAATCTACAAATAATACATAAATCAAAACGTACACACCTAACTGTTGTTTTTGCAATTCGATCCTGTTCTTTTCTTCAGTTTTCAACCTTTTCTCTTCTTGTATACTGGGAATACCTGCACAGTAGGGTAGTAGGTCATAATACTGATGTGTATTAAATTTCAGTTGTGGAAACATATTGTTTTTTTCCAGGACAAACATTTTTTTTTTATTTTTCAAATTAAGTTTTTCTTCATAATATTTTTTTCCAGAAGATATAAACCCCCAGCATGCACTTCCTTTACTCACCGAGGGCCACAACTCTGACGGTGTTGCCGAGATACTGGTCCAGCAATTTTATCCAAAAACTGGTTGGTTGGCTGGTAAGCTTCTTATACTCCCGTACACTTTACATAGATAGATAGATAGATAGATAGATAGATAGATAGATAGATAGATANCCCCCCCCCTCCTATCAATTTTGTACATGGATCTTATATTTAAGACATGTGGCCTCAGCGCTCGGCCCCTTAGCCTGTCCTAGACGTAGCGCTCGTCCCAAAAAGTGTCTTAACCTAACCTAACCCTAAATAAATACTAATTTAATTGAAAATTGTTGAACAAGTGATCATGTACAAAATTGATAGGAGGGGGGGGGGGGGGTCCAAAAATCGTTCTCTAGGACGGGCCCAATTTTATGATTATATAAAATTATGATTTACTTGAGAAACTTGTTCTAGGATTCGTCGCTGAATAACATTCTCCATTCTTTCTGTATCCCACGGTATCCTTCCTACAAACAATAAAATAGAAAAAATAATAACAATGCACCCTCAACTAAGCCTTCGGTGTGTACTGGAGTGATTTGCAGTACTCTGACCGAAGAAATATAGGGTTGTAATGGAGAGTGAATAACGATCACAAATCAGGCTTCTAGGGTTATCTTATGTCCATTCTATAATTCCAAAATGACAATACTAAATCAAAATTTACGATTTGAATTGAGTCAAGAGAATTTATTATCACAAACACAATAACAATAACAATAACTGTAATAAAATATCAAGACCTTTCGTATTTGACCCTACCATTGTAAATATATACTTTCGTATTTGAAGGCGCTGACCGCTACGCCGGTCCCAGCGGATTATTATTCTTTAAAATAAAATAAGTTCTATGCAAATCGTTGTATTTGTCAGAACAGGTTGAGAGGATAGAATTGCTCGCGTACATTTCGTACTTAAAACTATTCGGAGAGACTGGCAGGGTTGCTTCATAACTTAGAGAAAGACTACCTGACTGAAGACTAGTTAGTACTCTGTCTAACTCTGAGACAAGAGAAGATTGTTTCTCTCTAAATATATTAAAAATATCAATATGAATATATAATAAATTATCCAGATAAATATATAAATGATTTACATAAATATATACCTATCAAGAAATATAAATATAAATATATAAATGATATACATAAATATATATCTATCAAGAAATATAAATATAAATATATGTATGGATTGTTCTCAACCTAGAAATAAAACAATTGACTAGCTTGGGAACCCAGCTTTGTCTCAAAACTAAGCTTCCTCTATCAAATTTGAGGCAATTCGGTCAAGGGGTTCTTGAGTTATGATCAGACATCCAAACAAACAAACAGAGATTACTACTTTTTATATATAGAATCAAATGTTTTTATTTTCTGGTGGGGAATTGATAAGAAATTAGAACGAATTAGCATGATTCCCTGAAGTTAAAAAAAAACCCTTGATCTTTAAAATATGACTTTTATTACAGAGAGATATTCGCCATTTGAAGCTTCAAAGGGGACAAAAAATCCCAAAAGGGGGGAAAAAAAACTTGCCACCACATCCTCTCCTTAATTACATCATCATATACGTGTTTTCAAATGGGAGAACATTGAACAATAAAGTTCGATATTTTAAATAATTTTATTACCACAAATGATCTTATGAAAAAAATTTATCCTTGTGCATCAAATTTTATGGTAATTTCCTAGAGAACGATTTTTGGACCTAATATATATATATCAAGAAATATAAATATAAATATATAAATGATTTACATAAATATATATATATCAAGAAATATAAATATAAATATATAAATGATATACATAAATATATATATATCAAGAAATATAAATATAAATATATAAATGTCTAACATGGGAACCAAGCTTTGCCTTGAAATTATGTCTTCCTATTTAAGAAAACCTCATTAACTCATAAATGAATAAATGAATGAATGAAAAAATTAAAGGATGAATAAATGTATGATAGAAAGAATTAGTATATGAATGCATTAATGCATGAATTCATGAATGTATGAAAGGATGAATAGGTGAATGAATAAATGAATGAAAAAATTAAAGGAGGAATAAATGTATGAAAGAAGAATAAATGTATGAAAGAAGAATAATGAAGGAATGAAATAAATAAATGAATGATAGGATGAATAAATAAATGAATGAATAGATGAATAAATAAATGAATAAATGAATGAGAATGAATAATCTAACCTTGGAACATTGTCGAATGTTAGATAAAAGGTAGATTCCGAGTTCTCAATGAAGGAGTACCCAACATTACTTGCTAGGATAGATTAATAGATAGTTAGTTAGATAGATAGATAGTTAGTTAGTTAGAAAGAAAGATGGACTGAAAGATGGAATATTAAGTATATAGATAGGATTGATAGAAAGATATAAAAATATATCTCCGATGATATATAAATACGTTGACTGACAGTTAGATGGATAGATTGATAAAATAAAGATGGATAGACTGGACGCATAAGAAATGATATGTATAAAACAAGTAGATAAACAAACACCCACATAAATAGATAGATATAGATTGAAAGAAATAGAACCCAATAGATAGAAGGATGGATAGAAAGATAGATAAATCTAACCTAGAGGATCTGTGACCTCTACAAAGGCTGCTTGAAGAGGACTAACCGAGGACTCCGTTAAATACTCCAGAAGGACAACAAGGGAATACATTCCTATCAGGTCCTTGGTCACCTCAGGTCCCCTATAAATATTCCTATATTCCTATTAGGTCCTTGGTCACCTCAGGACCCCTATAAATATTCCTATATTCCTATTAGGTTCTTGGTCACCTCAGGGCCCCTACAAATATTCCTATATTCCTATTAGGTTCTTGGTCACCTCAGGACCCCTACAAATATTCCTATATTCCTATTAGGTTCTTGGTCACCTCAGGACCCTTATAAATATTCCTATGTTCCCATCAGGTTCTTGGTCACCTCAGGACCCCTACAAATATGCCTATATTCCTATTAGGTTCTTGGTGACCTCAGGACCCCTACAAATATTCCTTTATTCCTATCAGGTTCTTGGTGACCTCAGGACCCCTACAAATACTCGTATTTCTATCAGGTCCTTGGTCACCTCAGGACCCTACAAATATTCCTATTAGGTTCTTGGTCACCTCAGGACCCTACAAATATTCCTATCAAGTTCTTGGTCACCTCAGAACCCCTTGAAATTATTCCTATCAAGTTCTTGGTCACCTCAGAACCCCTAGAAATTATTCCTATCAAGTTCTTGGTCACCTCAGGACCCCTAGAAATTATTCCTATCAAGTTCTTGGTCACCGCAGGACCTCTACAAATATTTGATCATACAAACCCTTTCAGGGGTGCATTCAGAAACTTTTCCAGGGAGGCTTAAATTTCATTTCTTTCTAGGGGAGGGGGGCTCAGCAGTCAGTACCAATTTGGGCCCAAAACCTCCTAAAAACATAGATTTCACTTTCCCAGGGGGAGACCCCATAGCACCCCCCAGAATACGCCTCTTACCCATTTATACACAGTAGGAGTCTATGCGCAAATTTATTTGTTCAATTTTAGAAAATTTTCATGAAAAATTACCAAGTCAGAGATCTTTGTGACTTAAAATAGATGAGTTTAATTTTCAGCCGGGATTGGAATGGAAGTAGCTAACCATGAGGCCAGTGCTTAGGATCCATTTAATTTTGATGCGGATCCGGATCCGGATCCTGGATCCGCTTTTCAAAAAAATGGATCCGGATCCGGATCCAGGTCATTGATCCAAAAAAAATTTATTTTAGTTCAAATATCTTTTCATACCTAAAAAATGTTAAACATTTTAACATTTTTTAATACTATTTTTCTACTAGTTTGCACAAAATAATAATGATTTTTTTTTACTTTTTTGGATGAAAAAAAAAGATCTAATTCATATTAGCTTTTAGTAGAAGGAGGGCGTTTGGAATATCTGCCTTCAGGCAACTCCTTAGGTCTGATTTGAATATCTTCAGGGCAGAGAACAGTCTCTTTATACTGGAACACAAGATGTTCCTTAGCATCTGTATCTTTTTAGCATATGTGCGCCCCCTCCCTTTTCCCCTTCACTCTTACACATCCTTGCACATTAATTTGTGAAGACTGACTTTGCTTAGTTCCAATGGGGAAAAGGGAGACTTCTCCCCCCCCCTCTCTAGTTATTAAAGGGCCCCCCCCCCGGTGCACCGTGGAGGTCTGAGTTAAGATTTGAGCAAGATAGAAACCTGAGACCCTGAGAATATTTTTAAAATCTGTTAAACAATTCAAAATAAGATATTTTTAAGGAAAAATAACGCTGTTTTGCACATTTTGAAAAATAAAATTGTGCTTGGATCCGGATCCGTGGATCCGCATTTTTATGCGGATCCGGATCCAGAGAGCCAAAATAATGCGGATCCGGATCCTAAGCACTGCATGAGGCAGAATTAAAAGAATTTAAACCGCGTCTCTAAACAGGCAAAAACCGGTTTCAGTTGAGCGCCGGCTCAAATTTTGAAATACTGAATACAATATCAAGTGAAACCGACCATGTTTGAGCCGCGTCTAAATTTTAGGACGCGGCTCAAGTTCTTTAAATTCAGTCTAAGGGCTGGTTTATTAGTTAAACCAGCTGTGCCTACTTAGTTCTCTTATATTCATAAATTTCCATCTCTAATCTTACCTCCAGGCAATATAGACCATTCCATTATCCTCTTCATCGGCAGGATACAGGACTTTAAGCTCTCTATATTTAATCATTTATTTATTATTTCATTGATTCATTAATTCATTAATTCATTAATTCATTAATTCATTTTTTCATTTTTTCATTTATTAATTTATTAAATAATTAATTTATTTATTTATTAATTTAATAATCTATTAGTTTACTAATTTATCAATTTATTCATTAGTTAATTTTTTCATTAATTCATTTATTCATTGATTGATTGATTCATTATTTCATTTATTCGTTTATTCGTTTATTCATTCATTCATTAATTCATTTACAGTAGTCATCTTTTATATTATTATAATAAAGACGACTTTCGATTTCCATTTCGATTTTTTTACCAAGCTTTTAAACAGCCTGAAGATACAGAAACAAACAAAAGCTGTAAAATAACAAAACTGTCAACATTGTACTGATATAAACGCCCACCACTATGTTATATATCATAATTATATTTATATATTATTACAATTATCTTGGTAGGGATGGTCACTCTTGACATTAAAAATTACGCGTATTGTCCCTTTAAATAAATGATTGTGCCTGGCTGCTTCTAGTTTAGGAACAGGTGACTGCCAAGGACGAGTAAAGGGCCCTCTTTCTCCCTGAACAAACATCATAAATACTAATTTTTTATGCGATAGAAAATATTATTTCAAAATGAGTTTCAGAAAAGCCTTTTTTTTTAGAAATTGGAGGTGTAAAAATTCCTTTATGGTATCAATCTGTTGGGGATGAAGAAGATCATTTTGATTTTTCCCTTACGGCCCAGCCATAACAATCCTATCTTTTTAACCTTTTCCAAGATTTGTTTTCGGAATTGAAAATTGGATGAAAAAAAATCGAATGAGTAGCCAAGCCGTTTTGGAGAGAATGTGGTTGAAAACCTGCTTAAACAACATATTGGCTTCACGTTATTAATCTTTTGTGGATCGATTTTGATTTCCTTTTTACGCACAAGGTCTAAGAATCGTAACAGTTTGTTTACCTTCTCCAAGATCTTTGTCTGAAAACCTTGAATACTGGCAAATACTTCCTCAGGAGCAACACGACCTTTTCATTTATTTATTTATTCATTCTTTTATTCATTTATTCATTCATTTACTCATTCATGTATTCATTCATTCATTCATTCATTCATTCATTCATTCATTCATTCATTCATTCATTCATTCATTCATTCATTCATCCTTTCATTCATTCATTCATTCATTCATTCATTCCTCTGTTATGTTTAGGACAGAAAACTAAAAGATTTTTTTTTGTAAAATTTTGAAAATATTTATCCCTGTAATTTACCTGTGATGATTAGACAAAGATTCTCAGGCCTGTAGAAGCTTTTATGATAATCCTGAACCTGGAAACATTTAAAAGTTACCAACATGAACACATTCAAAAGTTACCAACATAAAAACATTCAAAAGTTACCGACATGAAAACATTCAAAAGTTACCAACATGAAAATATTAAAAAGTTACCAACATGAAAACATTCAAAAGTTACCAACATGAAAACATTCAAAAGTTACCAACATTAAAACATTCAAAAGTTACCAACATTATAACATTCAAAAGTTACCAACATGAACACATTCAAAAGTTATCGACATGAAAACATTCAAAAGTTACCAACATAAAAACATTCAAAAGTTACCAACATGAAAACATTCAAAAGTTACCAATATGAAAACATTCAAAAGTTACNAAAACGAAACATCAGCATCTAGACATTTGTATGAGCAATATTAACTAAGATATCAATGTTTTATAAGACATAAGACATATCTTAAAATATCAATATTGACAATCAATCAATCAATATTTCTTCTTAAAAAAAAATCTTAATTGAGGGGGGGGGGGAGGCAGCGGGAACCCAGCAAAAATATTTCTTTCAGAAACACATTCAATTCTCATTCTTTCCTCTGAGCTACCTTACAACCCTCGTCCTTGCAATATTATTGTGTTCATGATTGAGCAAAATCTTGGATGGACGAGATATTGTTGTAGCTGGCCTTCCCCCCTCGTTCATTAACCTTTTGATTAGAAGTTGATTCTCTCAAGTTTTGAAGTATTCCTCCAGTTTCAGATTTATACCCACAGTTTCCTGGATACATCGCTGTTACCATTTCTAAATAGGTTTAGGGGTCATCAATTGGTAACAATCCCTTTTATGATTTATTGCCAACTACCTTCTAATATCTTTAGTACCAATCCCTTAGTACCAAGTGACCTGAGCTGAAAACTTTAGAATGGGATATCCTTAATCCAGATCGGTTAATTAATCTGGAGATTAATAACAAGAGGAGAACAAGCATTATTTAATCTTTAAACCGCATCAATTTGTAATTCCCCTCATACATATATTGACCAGCAGTTCAAAATAATATCTTTTTTGTTTATATACATTTTTAAATTGATAATTCAACCCTAAGGAATGATTACAAATTGTTGTGTGTGCTTGCCGAGAAATAGATTTGTGCATTGAAGGATTACACATTTCTTTGGTTGCATACCCCCCCCCTCTCCCTTCTTCAGTCACACGATACAAGATAGCATAAAAATATCAGGATTTATTTGATACCTTAATAAACGTAAAACCGAAAATTTCCTCTTAAAATATCCTGAGGAGGAATCAAATTCTGGAGGTTGGAGTTCATTAACCCGGCCGAAAAAAGTGACAAAAATTCTTCTATAAACTAACTTGGTGTTTAGGTTGAGAAAATAATATTAACTTTTATAATTGGTAATTTTATTAAGTTATATGTTTATGTAAAGTTTAATTCTTCTAGAACGTTGGCCGTAGATTTCCTTGAACTTTATTGCAAAGACGACATTTAAAGAAATTTGAAGAAATCTGCGAACATTTTTATAAAGAATAAAGAATTTAACATATTGATGATAAAGAAATAGTTGATTTTACACAATTTAATCACAAAGCATGTTCCTAAACAACAAATTAGTTTATAGAAATTCTGGAATTATAGTTACCAAATCCTTAGCCAAGAGGATTCCGACTAATATTGGGTACTACTTCTAAAGTTGAATAAGTTTAAGGTTCCTGTTGGCCAGCAGATCTAACACACCCTTATACGGATAATCCTCACTCCCTAATCAATCAATTAATTAATCAATCAATCAATCAATCAACGAACTAGCTCCCAATCAATCTTTACATTTTAACGCATACAAATTAAAACAGGGATATTTTCTTATTTCCCCCTTCCGGGTAAAAAAAATGAAAAAAAGAAGAAAAATAAAGAAAAAAAGTGGAAAAAGCTACAAAGAAGTGAAAAATGAATGTTCTTCCCCAAGAATCAATAAGTTTTCTTCTCTGATATTGTATATCAAGAGATAAGATCTAGGATGAAGAAGATAATTCCTTCCAAATAAGCGCATTCTAGTTTCACTTCATCTGAATAACTTTTGCGCTTTGTGCTCTTTAGGAAAATGACTATGAAAACTATGAAAACTATGAAAACTATGAAAACTATGAAAACTATGAAAAAGTATCAGAAAGTGCAAACAAATTTGCTATTTATTGTTTTATTTATATTTTTTTTATGTGCATAGTTTTAGCATATTTGACTAACCTAGGAAGATCAGGTGCTCCAGAGTATGAGGAAGTCCGTCATCGTCAAACGCTTCCGTCGCTTAAAGGGATGTTTTACGTTATTTAAGAGCGACTTAAACTGTTTACAATGGTACCATACACAATTTCTGACAAATGATATCTGCATCCAAGAAAATTAGAAAAATAGATGGGCTTACTTAAAATTCAATTAAAGAAAAGAGGTAATCAAACGATGTATCAAAAATTAATCATTAATTGGGACCCAGGGGGGTCTGCGGATTGGGACCCAGGGGGGTCTGCGGATTGGGACCCAGGGAGGTCTGCGAAAAATTATCTGAGCCTGATGGGTATACCAATATTATGAAGGGGGGGGGGGTTATATAAGTTTTAGCAAATTACGTAAGTACAGGGTTACCCACAAAGGTTAATGACGACCTATAAACGCCTAAAACTCAACGATAACGTGGTTAAAATTTGTATTTGTCTAAAATATATTTTTTGATGTTAGAAAAAAACGAAAATGTTAGAAAACAGTAAAATAAATTCTTTAAAAGTCGTCTCTGAATTCTCATTCTTTGTGGGTAACCCTGATATGGAGCAAGTGAAAAATAAGAAATATTAAAATGTTATCATTTACCAAGACAGAAATATCCGTTGACCACCGGTCCATCAACCTTTCATTAAATCCTTCTTTAAACAGTGAGCAAAATGTTTTTACAAATAGCAGATGTCAAAACAGTAAAAAGAGGTCAAAACAGTAAAAAGAGGTCAAAATAGTAAACAGATGTCTAAACAGTAAACAAAGATCAAAACAGAAAACAGAGATCAAAACAGTAAACAGAGGTCAAACTAGTAAACAGAGATCAAACAGTAAACAGAGGTCAAAACTTAAAACAGAGGTCAAAACTTTAAACAGAGGTCAAAACAGTACACAGAGGTCAAAACAGTAAACATAGGTCAAAACAGTAAACAGAGGTCAAAACAGTAAACAGAGGTCAAAACAGTAAACAGAAGTCAAAACAGTAAATAGATGTCAAAACAGTAAACAGAGTTCAAAACAGTAAACAGAGGTCAAAACATTAAACAGAGGTCAAAACTTTAAACAAAGGTAAAAAAAGATCAAAATCTTTAACAGAGGTCTAAGCTTTAAAAAGAGGTCAAAAAAGTAAACAGATGTCAAAACAGTAAACAGAGGACAAAACAGTAAACAGAGGTCAAAACAGTAAAATGAGGCCAAAACAGTAAACAGAGGCCAAAACATTGAACAGACTTCAAAGCAGTACACAAAAGTCAAAACATTAAAAAGAGTTAAAAACAGTAAATAGAGGTCAAAACATTAAACAGAGATGAAAACAGTAAACAGAGATCAACACAGTTAAAAAAGGCCAAAACATTGAACAGAGGTCAAAACAGTAAACAGAGGCCAAAACATTGAACAGACTTCAAAGCAGTACACAAAAGTCAAAACATTAAAAAGAGGTAAAAACAGTAAATAGAGGTCAAAACACTAAACAGAGATGAAAACAGTAAACAGAGATCAACACAGTTAAAAAAGGCCAAAACATTGAACAGAGATCAACACAGTGGTAAGGAATAGCGCTAACCCTCAACACATTATCTTGATATCCTCTTTGACACTTTTAAATTTTAGGAATACGTTCTTGATCTCTATGTATTTTAATTATCACTGCAGGGTATGACAACCATGGAATATCCAAACAAAGTGAATATATATAAAGATAACTCGTCCTGGTTAAAGAATATGTTCCTGAGCTATGACGACTGTTAGTCCAGTACTGGACGATCTGTACTTCTCAACTGGAATTCGTCCATTGGCCTGCCAGAAATATCGTCAAATCAAAGCCGTCGAAAAAAACTAATACAAAGTTAGATTTAATAAACATATTGTGAACATTAATTAAAAATTAATTATTTAGAATGCGTACTTTTTCAGGAGTATACAATATACATCATTCGGAACTTATTTGTTGGAATTTAGATATTAAGGCGGTTTATTTCGGTATTTTCAGAATTGGCAGTCCAAAAATTCGTAATTTTTTCTAGTTATTTCCGGAGCTGCAACCATTTAGCATCATGGATCGGGGTCCGCAAAAACATGGAGACCCAAGGGGCTTTAAGTCAACAAAAATATCTCAATTACTACCAAAATTTTCTAAACTATTAGAAATATAAATGCGCATCATCAATAATAAAAAAGAGTTATTTCCTTATATTTTAAATATTAAAAAAGGAAGAACAAAGACGACATCAATTACAAAGTTATCTGGGTCTCACTGTACACTGTACAGTACGGTTTTGGGACAATTCATAGAAAAATTAATTCATAGATAGGACATTTCAGACTGAGAAGATCCTACATAAATAGTATAGTAGTAAAGTATGATTTTTAGATTTACTAATTAAATCAAAAGTAAAATGTATTTAACATTACTCTGCATTGTGAGACTTCCCTCTTGCCAGAAACAAGGAAAATGGAAACATAAAAAGATGGGTTGTGCACCATGCACTATGATACCGATTTTAATCTGCCGGTTCCAAGGGAAGGATTACTGTAAACGAGGCCGTAATCTGAAGCACTGTATCTGAGATGAACAAGAACCAAGAATTCTTTTGTCGAAAATATCCACTCATTTTCTAACCTTTCTTATCTCATTTGTCATTATTAAGCCGGAATTCTGACACAATGAATATCCTCACAATTATCAAACCCCCCTGGGTGCAGTGGCATTTTTTTAACCTACAAGAATATCGAGGAAGTTGAGTTTGAAGCTAAACTTCAACAGTTACTGCGTCAGATATTTCATAGATCAGAAAACAATATTCAAAACTGTAAATTCATCTGATATCTACTCCTGACAACAGTAACCTTCTGTTATACTTTATTTGATATTTCTGGCGCCAAGATATCAAATTTAATAATAGTATGGATCAGAAATATGTGTCAAAATACATTTTTCCCTTATAAAAGGAACACAAAACAGATGAATTCTAAGATAAAAGGAACACAAAACAGATGAATTCTAAGATAAAAGGAACACAAAACAGATGAATTCTAAGATAAAAAAGATACAACGGTCAAAATGCATTTTTCCCTTATAAAAGGAACACAAAACAGATGAATTCTAAGATAAAAAAGATACAAAGGTCAAATAAAAACAATTAACTGCTCTTTTAATTTTGTTTAAATTTTTTTTTTATTAAAAATAAATTGTTAAAATAAAGAGAAGGAGAGAAATCCAATTTATAAAACTAAAAAGATATTACCAAGTTTTAAATAGTTTCAGCTGAAAGGGAAAATATATATAATATTTGAAGCAATAATCAGATAGATTGTAGAAATAACAGTGTATAATTTATAGAATAAAAATAATTATTTCCCTTATCTAGGAAAAATGTTCTCGGTCGATGAAATGTCTTATCTATGAAATGTCCAATCAATGAAAAATGTTCTCAGTCGATGAAATGTCTTATCTATGAAAGGTTCTATCTATGAAAAATGTTCTCAATCGATGAAATGTCTTATCTATGAAAGGTTCTATCTATGAAAAATGTTCTCAGTCGATGAAATGTCTTATCTATGAAAGGTTCTATCTATGAAATGTCATTTTATGAAAAATGTTCTCAGTCGATGAAATGTATTATCTATGAAAGGTTCTATCTATGAAATGTCCCATCTATGAAAAATGTTCTCAGTCGATGAAATGTCCTATCTATGAACAGTCTTTCTCCAAAATGTCTAAATCAAAATGAATCTTTTCTTTCAACGGAAAAACAACGGTAAGTTTGATTTCTATCCTTGGTTGAGACAAGCAGCTTGAAATCTGACATTTTGATCTGAAATATTTATGTACAATGTGTACTAGAACAAAATACAAGCTAAATATATATTTAGTAACTCAAGAATAGGGTCATAATACTAGTAATTTAATGCCGGGGTCAGATTATCCAATATCAGGGGTGTATATTTTCTTGAAAATACTTTTTGGTTTTTTCCCGCTGTATTGGGGAAAATAATTCAATTTCTGAGTATAAAGTACATAAAAGGGGGGGGGGTAATTTTTAGAAATATACACCCCTGTTGTCAATAATCGTACAATATTACAAACATTCAGTTTATAAACACATGGCTTGCGTACATTGTACATAATGCACAGTACATGAACTTGATAAAGATCGCCTTCAGTTAAGTCTAAATGGGGTTAACGGAACTGTAAGTAACCCTTAACGCAAACTCAAAAGATACTAATGCACGATTCACAACGATACCCTGCACTGATTAAGTATGAATTAGATATAAATGTATACGGTGGTTTCTCTACTCGCGCATTATTACTGCTGAAAACATATAGGAATTACCAGAATTAAATACATTTTAAAACCTGATGATCACATTATTGATCAGATAAAGGTTTCAAGGATACCAATGTAAATCGGAAATTGCTATCTTTGCATGAAAGGTCATTTAAAATTACGCTTACAATCCCTTTAATAATAATAGTAAACGTACGTAATAAAAAATAGTAATTATCAATTATTGTAAAATGAAATTTTCGAAAAGAATAGTTGCAACTTTCTACATTTGATTATTATTCAAAATATGAATATTTTACAGTGGTAGGCGATTATATCAATATAAGGAAGACGACTTTTATTAAGCTTTTAAACAGCGTGAATACACAAAAATAGAAAACAAAGAGAAGCTTTCAATTGAAAAGCTTCTCTTTAATTACTTGTATTGTAAACTTGTAATTCGAAAAAACAAGCTAACAAAAAAATGTTAATAAAAAAGTCGTCTTCATTACTTCATTATATTGACATTATCGCCTACCACCGTTTATGGAACTTTTTAAAAATTAATTTCATAATTGTAATTAAATATATTTCAAATCTTTCTTTATTCTTCACTGATTTCATTGTTGTAACTTGTAGACTCCATTTTAGGTACTTTTGGTATGTACTCTATATTTGTAGCAGTAACAGCCCCAACTTTAGACATTTAAACTGGAGTATCTACTCCCATTAAAGTTACTGAAGGTACTCCCACTACTCCTGTTGCAGATAAACCTGCTGAGTTTGAAGGTGCTGTGTGGTGTTTATCGCCTAAATCAAACATTATATTCTCCTTTTACCTTTAATAGAGTGTAATTTTTTTAAGCATTTAGAATCATGACCCCCCCCTCATCGGCCCCTCTCCGAAAATTTCAAAGACAGTTTTATCTGAAACATTTAAAAAAAAATGAATAAAAATAAATCTAAAAAACTCAAAATAAATCAAAATAAAATCAAAATAAATCAACATAAATCAAAATAAAAAAAATAAATAAAAATAAATCAAAAGAAAAATAAAATAAAATGATATCAAATTATCAATCATCTCAACCCCAAATTAAAATAGCTAAAAGACAAAATAAAACATAATACTCCCCATTTTTCTTTTCTTCCCACTGTTTAAATAAATTGTTTAATTGAATAAAAATACAAATAAATCACCTTGTTGCCACAAAATTCACTTTTCCCCCATTTTCGCCCCCAAAAAAACAGTAACACACACACACAAATTTGAAGAAATGAATGTATTCCTGAATGGGAGCTGTTTGAATAACAATTGGTTGAGAAGTGCCGCCAATCATCTGAGATCTGATAACCTGGAAATATCAATCAATCAATCAATCAATCCTCCCGATTTTCAATTAATCAATTATTCAAATCAATTGTTACGCAAGCACATGCTTCGATATTAAAGTCTATAATGCAACCCCTGTTGCTACCAATATTCTCCCCTGGTTCAAGATGATGAGTTGGAAGATAAAACTAGTTTTTTGCGGGTGAACTATCCTTTATACGCATGCGTAGGAATCTCCCGTGGTGTCCGCTCAGTTTTTTCTCTCAGTAGTTTGTAAATATTGTATTCGTATATTTATAATGTTAACGTGCCAAGAATTCTAGGACTAATATGGTAAATATCCTTTTAAATACTTAAACCCATTGTCCTTGTCTTGTATGATTATATATGTATGTTTTACCAGCATAATTCCGCAGTTTTTAATGCCTGAGATGATGTTTTTTTTTTGTATTGTTTGTTGTATCAATGATGTGAAATTTGATCTCTTAAAGCTTTTCTGTGGTCTTACCAAGCTTTATTTGTTTAAGATTGAAGATTGGTATGTCTCAATAAAGTTTGGAGCTATCCTGAGTTTTCTTTATTATCGAGAGAGACGGGAAGAAAAGATCTTACAATCAGGCCCGGAGAAATACAGCACGGTACTTATCCAATTTTCATTAGGTCTTTAGGGAAATCGCGTAACATCAATAATCCATGAATCAATTCACTTATTAATAAAATCAATTAATAAATCACCAAATACCTCTATTTAACAATTAATAAAAAAAGCAAAAAAAAAACAAGTTTCACTATCTATCAACCAACCAAACAAACACAGGCTAACACAGACTGCTCATACGCTCTAACGGGGTAGCCTAGCAGCCCATGCAATTTAAGTTTTACAACTTATAACATGAAACATAAAAATGAACTTAATCATTTTATTCAGATTTTCAATCCAAAGGATCCTTAAATATCCCTGAATGCAGATGTCTGTTGATTGGTCGTGTACTCCAATTGTACACAATGGAAAATATCGCATTTACCGTATGAGCAGTCTGTGTTAGTCTGTGGAACCAACCAACTAATTAATCGATCAATCAAATAAATAAACAATCAAATAATCAATCAATGAAAAAATCAATGAAAAAATCAATCAATCAACCAAACAAAACAATCAAACAATCAATCAATCAATGAAACAAAAAGTCAATCAAACAATCAAACAAACAATCAATCAATCAATGCAGCAAAAAAATAAACAGAAAAAAAGCAACCACTCAAGAGAGTAGAAGGGTTAGGTTTAACCTGAAGTTGCTGCTGACTAAGCTGGATTGGTATCTGCTGGATCTCTCCGTTTGGTCCCATAATCTGCTGAACAATCTGAAAAATAACATTTTAATGGCAGGGATATATAATTTCTAAAAAAAATCCCTACCCCACCCACTCTAGGGATAAATAATTGATTCAGAGTGTATTGTTAAGATTTTCTAAAAAAAATTATTAGACTCAAAAATAAAATGTAGAATTGATTGTACAGTGTACAGTGTACAGTGTATACTGTACAGTTACATCTTTGTCTGATCAATAATGTGTAAAACATCGTAATTTTTCAAGTTTAAAAATATGTGTTTAATTCTAACATTCTTCTCCAACTTTTCGGTAGCTAAACATCCTCAAGTAACTTAGAGAAGCCACAATTTCAAAAAATCAATTATTTCAAAGATAAAAACATACATATCTTGATCAGACAAATATTCAAAGCTTTTAAAGAAGGGTCACTTTAACTATCAAGTTTGAATGTAAACCTGTTGTTGTTGTTGTTGTTGCTGGCCCTAAAACAAAATATTTAATTAGTTTCTTTAAAAATTATTCTTTTCCCACAAATATTAAGTTGAATTTTGTATGAAAAGCATTATAAAATTAATCGGTAAAAAATTAATTAAAAGAAGAAATATTGATGTAAAAATACATAACAAAAATACCATAATAGGATAATTAATGATAAAAGTGGAAAAAAATATTAAAGATCAATAAATAAATGAATAAATGATTGAAAGGATGACAGGATGTATGTATGCAAGAAAGAATAAAGAAATGAATGCATGAATGACTGAATGAAATAATGAATAAATAAATGAATAAATGAATAGATGAATAGGTGAATGAAAGGATGAATGAATGAATGAATGAAGGGATGAATAAATGAAAGGAAGGATGAAAGGATGAAAGAATGAAATGATGAATGAAAGGATGAATGAAAGGATGAATGAATGAATGAATGAATGAATGAATGAATGAATGAAGGAATGAAGGAATGTATACCTGTGATGTATTGGATTGCAAAGACTGCTGATGCTGCTGAGCTAACTGCAGATAGTAGGAAACCTAGAAATTATTAATATTTTTATGATGCAGTTGTATTTTTTATTAACTTTTTACACAACACATCAAGTGAACATACAAGAACAGCGAAGAAATAAAGTCTTTGAAACAAAATTCAAATTTGTTATTCCATATATCTTTGCAACCTGATGGTGTAATCGTGAATATTTCAACCGCATATTATTTTATCTAACAGTAATCATAGTTTGAAATATCTTAGGTCTACGACATTGGGTGGCTAAGATGTAGGGATTAGAAATGAGAGTTTGTAACAAAAACTCAATACTTTTATATAAAGAACATAAAGAAATGTGGACCCCCCAGACTGTCGCTGAATTTTAGGACATTCAGAACCGGCGTTTTAAGTACATTGTAATTTTAAAATTCCCTGCAAATATATTGACGCAATCATGTAAACCATTTGTTTATCTCAGATTTGTAAATAAATGATTAAATTATAAATCCACCAATGAGATGAACTATAATCAATCCAAGGGACGCCATTGCACGGTTTAACAAAGCAATGCCGCGGAGCCGGGTTTTATGTCTTCTTCCATAAATAAGAGAAACCAAGGTTACAGATCAAGGGTCAAATAAAACTTTTATAAGAGCAATTTTTATTTATAATCTTCTATTAATTACTAACTTCACGAGTTAATTAATAATTAAGTAAGAAATTATAAATTAATTAAACTTTGCACTTCTGAAATGAATTTTATGGCATAATTTTATTATCATGAAAAATATTGTCGATAGTGTCTTACCTTTGTTTTATATCCTTGGTTAAGAGCAGTTTTCATAATAATACGCAGCGTTTTGAGCACTCTGTGAAAGGTACTGGAGATTAGGATAAAATGAAGGTTTGGTGTTGGTTAAAACCTTTTTTTTGCTATTTTGAACGCTCTTAATGTGTCTTGCATACTTTCCGAACCAAATTATCTTTAGGTTGTGGTTTTAAGCAAATTAAAAAATAAATAAGTTTAAGAAATGATGCAGCTTCTTACGGATTCAAAAACAGCTTCAATTCACTTATTGTTATTCATGTGTGGCTGCAGCGCTGCAGCTGGGCCCCTAGCCTGTTCAAGCCGCGGCGCTCGGTCAGTTTGTTCCAAAGCCTTTACTAGGCCTGAGCCAATACTAGAAATAAAAGTAGTGTACAACATTTTTAACAAACATTTTTTATATTTTTTTTTATCGATTTTGATGGTTTTTATATTGTTAGAACTGACGAGAGTCAACCCAGACCGAAATATATTTTCAATAAATGTGGAACTAACATCTACTTTTTTACTCTACAGAGGTTTGGTCCATCACCATCACGGAATTTTAAATTTGTTGTTTTAGTTTTACAACATGACTATATTTTGATCATTAATTTTTAATATGTTCTCAATTTTACAGATATTCATTAGCTATCTGAAGATGTTGTGGGTTACAACGAAATATATTATGGCGAAAAAGACAGTTGGTTAAAACCTAGAGTAATAAGTTGCGTTGGAGAGAGTATAATCTNGCTATTCTTTTTAAGTGTTCGCTGAATTTGAGAAACGTTCAGAATTGTAGCCACCTTCGGGGATACGAAATGAATTTTTTTGGTAAAAAGTATCAAATCATGAAAAACAGTCCGTTTAAAGTCAATTTTTAACCCTCCTCCCCCCCTTTGTATAGTTTTTGTTAGAGATTATTCTTCCTTAAATGATTAGAAGGACTGTAAGTGACCATTTCAAGTCAGCCTTCATACAAAGATGACAATGCCCTATTAACAAGGGTACCCTTAAAAGCTTTGTCAGATCAAGTATGAATTGAATATCCATGATTTTGTTTCTTAAGCCTGTTTAATTTCATTTACGGGTTTTCTTCGAAAAATACTGATCGGAAAAAAATTTCCAGTGAGGAAAACGACTTAGTCTTCCACAGTTCTGATGAAATAAAGGTTGCTAGGGTACCGATGTAAATTGGGCATTCCAATTTTTGCAGGAAGAATTACTTAACAGTCGCTTTAAACAAAAGATTTATTAAAACCCGCAGATTGTTTTTTTTTTGTGAATCTGAAAATTTAATGTTTATCCCAGTTTATCCCCCAATTTTGTATCAAAAATACATAAAGTAATAATGACAACTATAGCTAGTCAATCATCAGTCCGTGGAAAAAAATATTTGATAATACGTAATTTTTTATAAGAAGGTTTTTTTTTAATGGAAATAAACACCTCCCCAATTTAAAACAGATTACATTTAGCTGTAGCAAAATACTAAATTGGTCAATTAGTGTCAAATAACAAATGTTTTTTTTTTTAAATTTAATTAATTTTATTTTTTACATTCAAACATTTACCGGAGTAAGTATGAGGAAGATATCGCTATCATAATCTCTGCAGCATACATCCGCAAGTCGCGTTATAGAGAAGCACAATTAAAAATTATCACATTTTAGATATAAAAATAAGTATATCTTATTCATCCTTGATCTGGTTTAAGGTTTAAAGGGCATCGTGGCGAATACAAAATGACACTTAACAAATGAAAGGTCACATTAAATTTTGTCGAACAGTCCTTTTAACCAGCTAAATAAAACTATTCTTTTAACGAAAATGGATCTTTGTGAAACCAGAATTAATGCGATCATTTCAGAACAACATTTTGATCATTTTAACAAAAAATCGTAACGTTTTATCAATTTTTTTTAGCGCTCTTTAATCCTTATTTTATTATGCTTAAAAGGTAGAAGAAACGTATATATTCAGTTTTACAATAAGTTTTGATTAATTAATTTTTATTTTTTTAGGAAAATGGAGTTCAGGAGTTAAATAAAGCAAATCTAAATGAAGAGGTATAAATATAGAATTTAAAAAACAGTCCCTTTATTCCAAAAGAACTTATATAACGATCGGTTCTCCAGTTTTTAAGATAACAATATTTCAAAGCTTAATTAAAGTAAACTTTCACAGAAAATAGTTTTAAAATGTTGAAAGTTTTATTGCATGTTTTTCTGAAAAAAACGGTTCTATCTATCTATCTATCTATCTTATCTTTAGGACCTAGTAGTAGTGGATAAAATAGTTGCAGCTAAACCGCATCTAGCAAGAGCTCAGGAAATGGCTTTCAAGGTATTGTTACTGTTCTTGTTATTGTTATTGTTATTGTTATTGTTATTGTTATTGTTTTTTGTTATTGTTATTGTTATTGTTTTTGTTTGTTATTGTTTTTTATTGTTTTTTTATTGTTTTTTTATTGTTTTTGTTATTGTTTTTGTTATTGTTTTTGTTATTGTTTTTGTTTTTGTTATTGTTTTTGTTATTGTTTTTGTTTGTTATTGTTTTTTATTGTTTTTTTTATTGTTATTTTTTATTGTTTTTGTTATTGTTTTTGTTATTGTTATTGTTATTGTTCTTGTTTTTATTCTTGTAATTTTCACTATCAATATTGTTATTGTTTTTGATTTTAAGGCTAATTTTTCTATAAATGATGTCATGGGTATTGTTGCTAATGCGGTTGATATCATTATTAGCAATATTATTAATTATCTTTATTATTTTGAAGTATTGTTATTATTTTCATTATTTTCAGTGGTATCATTTTCACGGTTAGTTTTACTTTGTAAAGCTAATTTTCTGTTGAAATGTATTTCTAATTTTCTTAAAAATGGATTCGTAGATTTATTTTTATTTTTTAATTAAACTTGATATTTGCTTGATCGACAACAATAATATTATTATTTGGAAAAAATTCCAGGGAATATAAAAATAGTTTATTTGATGATGTGCTGAAAATATAAAATATAAAGCTGTCTTCACTTGCGACCATTTTTGTTTGTACTTTGCTAAATTTGACAATTTCTAAGATTTTCCCGAGTTTTTTGGGTGAATTTTCAAAAAACAAACAACTCGCTTTGTTCACACTGTTTAAGGAGGACTGTAGAGAAACCGCTAACGTAAATCTACAGTTTAAAGTAACAAAAACAAACATACATTGATATCTAATTCATACTTGACCAGACAAAGCTTTTAAGGGTACTGTTGTAAAACATGGCATTGTCATCTTTGCATTGAGGGTCTTTAATTTACGCTAACTGTCTTGTGTTATCATGCAGGACAAAAGGTGTTTTGGGCCGGAATTTTATTTTATTTTCGTTTGTTTAAGGTTTAAATTCAAGACTGTAATCCCGAACCTAGTGAGGGATTAAAATTCTTGAATTTAAACCGAAAACAAACAAAAAAAGTAAAAATCCTAACAAAAAATATAATTTACCAAATGATAACACAAGACAGTTGGATATATCAATTTAATTAAGTTAAGTGTAAAAAAAAATAGCGATTATTTATTAAAATCCGCGAAATAAAAAGGGAAACCTGCTTTCCCTGTAAAAAATGTTGCTTATTTTCCTCGGAACAAGTCAGAAACTATTTATATCCAAGATCATGAAATTTTGAATCCAGGCGCGCATTGTTAATTCATGAATAAATATCTCAGCAGCCTTGGCAAACAGTACAGGGGCCTCAGCAGATATCATCTAGATAGGATAGAAAGATGGATAGATATAAAAATAGAAAGATAAATAGATAGACAGACAGAGAGAAAATAGATAAGAAATACAAATAGAGCAATCAATCAATCAATAAATCACTGGTATGTGATCTACACGCCAATCCCAGTATAGAAGACCCAGACAGTCAACGGGATTAAGCACACACAAGATAGACATAGAGAAAAATAAAGATTGATTAATAGATGAATAGGTAGATAGAAAGGTAATTACAGAATTAAGTCTTAATTATAAATATTTTAGAAACTAAAAGATGATTTTGTCTCCCTTAAAATTATAAACTTACACTTCCATGCAAATTCTAAAATTACACATAACACATCATCTTTAATCTCGTTCAGATTTAATAATTCTATGGTTGCACTGATCAAATTGTCTGCAGTATTACCCTCAAAAGATGAGACTAAAAGACAACCTGAAACTCATATAATATAATGATCCTAAAGTTTAATTAAGTAGTCTACCTTTTAATAGCTTATTTAATGATATACCAAAGAAAGAAACAAATTTATGTGAATTTAAGAAAACAGAAATAAAAAAATTACGTACGGTCGTCTCTGAAGTCTCATCCTTCGAGTGTAACCTGCTACCTTGACGTCCTCGTCGAGCTTCATGATCTTCTTAATCCTGGCGAGGGGGAGCTCCTGGTGCTTCAGGTCTCCGATAGTCATGGTTCTGATCTCATCGTTCACCTGGAGTACAAATAAAGTAGGACACATTGTAGCAAATATCGTAAAACATGATATTCTGTAAACCTGTAGTACGTTGTATATTATTAACAATCTATGTTTGTAAACTTATACGTTAAAACATTATTCATTAAAACTGCGTTTCAATTGAATACGTATCATGATTAGCTTAAATCATCGGATATATAATGATGTACATCTTAATTGGGCCGATTTCAAATCTGTTGTAATATGTAACATGATTACATGTGATATAGAACTTGTTATGGAGTAGGGGTTTACTACAACATTACGTAAGTTCGTAACCTTGAGAAACACTACGAAGAGAATAAATAAGTAGAAGTAGAGTATAAATAAGTAGGAAACATTACGGAACCTAGAGGAATACCACATAGAGTATAAATAAGTAGGAAACATTACGAACCTAGAGGAATACCACCTAGAGTATAAAAAAGTAGGAAACATTACGGAACCTAGAGGAATACCACCTAGAGTATAAATAAACTACGAAACATTACAGAACCTAGAGGAACACCACCTAGAGTATAAATGAACTACGAAACATTACGGAACCTAGAGGAATACCACCTAGAATATAAATAAACTACGAAACATTACGGAACCTTGAGGAACACCATCTAGAGTATAAATAAGTAGGAAACATTACGGAACCTAGAGGAACACCACCTAGAGTATAAATAAGTAGGAAACATTACGGAACCTAGAGGAATACCACCTAGAGTGTAAATAAACTACGAAACATTACGGAACCTAGAGGAATACCACCTAGAGTATAAATAAACTACGAAACATTACGGAACCTAGAGGAATACCACCTAGAGTATAAATAAGTACGAAACATTATGGAACCTTGAGGAACACCGCCTATAAATAAGTAGGACACATTACGGAACCTTGAGGAATACCACATAGAGTATAAATAAGTAGGAAACATTACGGAACCTTGAGGAAAACCACCTAGAGTATAAATAAACTACGAAACATTACGGAACCTAGAGGAATACCACCTAGAGTATAAATAAGTAGGAAACATTACGGAACCTTGAGGAAAACCACCTAGAGTATAAATAAGTAGGAAACATTACGGAACCTTAAGGAAAACCACCTGGAGTATAAATAAACTACGAAACATTACGGAACCTTGTTGTGAAGTACTTTCAGTGAAGACCCATTTCACTTTCAGACTTTGATTTTCAAGCTCCTTGTAAAACTTTTTGTTTAATAACAACATCAAATCTTGTCTTCATAATACACAGTTTTATGGGACCTACTGTTGGAAACAAACGGAACCTTGAGAAACTCCGTCGCAATTTAGAAACTAAGAAATAACCTTACCAAGAATATTTCTTTATAATTATGTTGTGATGTCTCCAATAGAGTTTGACCCTGTCTAATGGTATTATAGTAAAATACAGATTATTTTATGACGACTAACTAATTTTTATTAGGCTGTCTTATGGAATTACCTTTGGCCAAAATGTATCATAGGCTTGTTGTGCCTCCGAAATTTGCTGATGTTGCATCATTCCCGCCATTTTTTCTCAGCCTTTTTTCTGAAAAATTAGATCAATCATTTTTTTGGGTTTTTGAAATAGATTGCAACGTTTGTCTGTCCGTCTGAGTGTATGTCTGTTCTCCTAGCACTAGGTAGCCTCCGACCAGCATTAAAAAACTTCCTTTATTTTCATATTTTTTCAAAAAATTCTTGTTAAGTTTTAAATCAAAATTATTTCAACGTAATTCTGTTTTACAAATTTGCAAAAAATTGTAAAAATATAAGTTCCTAGGGCCCAGTTTAGGTCTAGAGGTTCCGAAAATATAATCCTTCCACAGATTGCAGTACACGCTTAATAACATTTTTAACAATAGGTCATTAATTATGGGGAAAAATTATTAAACAATGACCCCTCCCCCAACCCTCCCCAATACAGTTCGATATGAAGTAACAGTGATTATAATTTCAAGTGACCCTTTTATTTAAAATAGAGGCCCGCCCAATTCACGATGGTTCCCTTGGAACCTTCGTCTGATCTATGATGTGGAAGATAAAGTCGTTCTTCTAGCTTGGAAAGTGCTAAATTCCGACAATTATCCGTACATTGTTTTTCTGAAGGCATAAGAAATGCGAAAGTCACTTTAGAAGGAACCCCGCGGCTCAAAAATGGTTGGTTCTGCTTAAAATCGTATTCAAGGTTTTAAGATTTACGCCGGTGCTCAATTAAAACCGGTTTTTGGCGGATTTGAGCCACGGCTTAAATTCATTAAATTAGAACACAGTTTAATAAATTATAAACATCAATATATAATTAATGCTTAATTATGTATACCAAGCTTTGAAGAGTACCGTTGTAAATTGGACATGCCAATCTATAAATGGAGAGTGAATTAAAATTAAGTTAACAGTCCCTTTGCAGAGGGAGCCGGGGAGACGAAGGGTGTTCCAAAATGTTATAAACCTAGATTAGCTGGAGGGGGGCCAGGAGGGACGAGGGGTGTTCCAAAATGTTATAATCCTAGATTAGCGGGAGGGGGGCCAGGAGGGACGAGGGGTGTTCCAAAATGTTATAAACCTAGATTAGCGGGAGGGGGGTCCATTCAACACAACTTTCTGTTGTCTCCCTTCGAGCCAGTTGTTAATCCATTTAACAGCTTCTCCTGCTACTCCATGAGCTTGGAGTACGGAAGATAACCTAGCGTGAGGCACTTTGTCAAATGCCTATGCAAAGTCTAAATATATCACATCAACTGAATGTCCTTGATCAATGTATTCATAAACTTTTTCCAAATATTCAAGTAAATTGGTAAGACATGATTTTTTGGCCATAAAACCTTAATGAGAATTAAAAATCAAATTGTTCTTTGTCAAATGTTCAACCAATGAGTCCTTAATAACTGATTCCATAATTTTACAAATAATACAAGTTAAAGAAACTGGTCTATAGTTACCAGGATTGAGCTTTGAACCTTTCTTAAAAATGGGTGTAACGTTTGCACATTTCCATTCTTTGGGAACACTTCCCTCATTCATAGACTTTGTAAATAACAAACACAATGGATAACAAAGTTCTTCTGAAAGTTCTATTAAAAGGCTGGAATTAAATCCGTCTGGCCCCGGAGCTGAAAAAGGTTTCAGTTTGTTTAACTTCTGCTTAATATTTTCTGGGGTAAAAGTTCCATAATGTTATAAACCTAGATTAGCGGGAGGGGGGCCAGGAGGAATGAGGGGTGTTCCATAATGTTATAAACCTAGATTAGCTGGAGGGGGGCCAGGAGGGACGAGGGGTGTTCCAAAATGTTATAAACCTAGATTAGCGGCTGTATTTAACAGAGTAGCTTCCACTGCACTTTTACACTCACAGATTCCTCTACAATCAGCAATCAATTGGTCGATCAAAAATCAATTAATCAATCAGAACTCGATTGGTCGATCAGAACTCACATTTATCAATCAATAATCAATTAATCAATCAGAATTGATCAGTAAGCAATTGGTCGATCAGAACTCAACTAATCAATCAGAAATCAATAATCAATCAGACATAAATTAATTTCAATCAGAAATCAATAAATTTCAATCAGAAATCAAGTAATCAATCAGAAATCAATTAATAAATCAGAAATCAAATAATCAATCGAAAATCAATTATTCAAAAAGCAATTAATTAACCATCAGAAATCAATTAATCAATCCGAACTCAATTAATTACTTAGTAATCAATTAAATAATTTGTAATCAATTGATCAAACAGTAATCAAAAAATCAATCAGAAATCAATTAATCAATCATTACTCAACTTCTCAAGCACCAATTAGTTAACCAAAACTGTCAAAGTAGACTTTTTTAACAGATTGTTGTAAACTAAGAAATAAAATTATTTTCGTATAATGTATAAGACAAATTATGGCAAATTAAGACAAATAATAATGACTGTAAGCGTAATTTCAAGTTACCCCACCCCGTGTGCACAGATGGCAATGCTAAATCCCAACGCTACCTTGAAAACCTTTATGTGAACAAGTTTGTATTAGAACTCCATGCTTTTGTTTTGAAAACTGCTCATTTTGGTTTGTAGTTGTTCCGCAAAAGTGACTTGCGCACTTCTTGCTTATAAGAATGATGTGTGAAATCATCAGAATTAAAAACATTTTGAGTAGAAAAACGACGTTTTTGATCAGTTCGCGGTTTCAAAAATACCGTTGTAAATCGGGCATTGACATCTTTGAATGGAGGGTCACTTATAATTACACTTACACTCCCTTAAGATATTGAATGCTGACTTCCCTGGCATAAAGTGTTATCATAGCAATATTTAACAGAATTACACATATCAGGAAAAATCCCCGAACTTTGATTTTCTCATTTCAACATTTTTAAACATTTAAAATAAAAATAAATCAAGTATTCAATTATCCTTAATTCTAATACGAAGTTATCGATGGGTATAAATTCAAAAGACTTGACATCTGGCGAATATTTTTGAAGATTTAGGGAAAAAATTTAAACTTGGTTTTTATTTTCAAATTAAACAAAAAAAAGCATATCTTACAGGTACATAAACGTTAAGGTGGGGTGGGGTGGAAGAAAAATATATTCCCAAATTTGTTGTATGAGATATTCCTGACAGCTGGTGAATCTCTAAATCTGTGGACATATCTGTCAACCCAAGTTTTGCCGTCAGACCGGCTAAAAATATAAAAAACGATTTACTTCTTAGAAACCCTAAAACGTGATGGGTGGCCACAGCTCCCCATGTCTGTCAACGCGGTGCTCGATTCCTCAGCTAACCTAGGCGCAGCTATTAGCCCCCTCGCTGAGATCTAGCCCCCCCCCCTCCCTT